GTGTGAGCGACCTGCTTGGATGAGAGGTGGAAGATTGGGAAAGCGATAGGAAGGAGGAGGGGGGGGAGAAAACAGGCGAGAGAACGGGGAGTAGAGGAGTGGAGAGAGCATTGAGGAAAGAAGCAAAGATGAGAGGAATGAAGTGAGAGCGAAGAGTGCAGCAGGTGCAGAAATGATGCATGCATGAATGGACTGCTGCAGTGGCACACCCAAGAGACCTCGTACCAGCTGAACCAAACTAAAACAAATACCTGAGACTATACCAAAAGAAAATTACCTGCTACCTTGGGGGAGGGAGGTCTCATGGGTGTGACAGAGAGCAGTGAAGAAGGGAGTGTGATGAATGGTGCAAGCATGACATGATAGCAACAGATTGCGAAGGTGGGAGAGGAGAGGAAGGGCGGGGTACTTAGCTGTGGGTCGGCTGGGTGGAGAGCAGCTGCTGCCTGTGCACTCCATGTCCCCTACCACTTCCACTCTTGTGTGAGCGACCTGCTGGGACAAGAGAGGGCAGATCTGGACAGAGAGAGGAAGGAGGAGGGGGGGAGAAAACGGGCAAGTGAATGGGGAGCAGGGGAGAGGAAAGAAGCAAAGATGAGAGGAGTGAAGTGAGAGCAATTAGTGCAGCAAGTGCAAGAATGATGCATGCATGAATGGACTGCTGCAGGGGCACACCCAAGAGACCTCGTACCAGCTGAACCAAACTAAAGAGAATACCTGAGGCTGTACGAAGAAAAAATATACCTGCTACCTTGGGGGAGGGAGGTCTCATGGGTGTGACAGAGAGCAGTGAAGAAGGGAGTGTGATGAATGGTGCAAGCATGACGTGAAAAGCAACAGATTGCGAGTGTTGGGAGAAAAGATTAAGGACGAGGTACTTAGCTGTCTGTGGTTGGGTCGGGTGGAAATTAGCTGCTGCCTGTGCGCTCCATGTCCCCCGTCACTGCCACTCCCGTGTGAGCGACCTGCTAGGACAAGAGAGGGCAGGTCTGGACAGGGACAGGAAGGAACGAGGAGGAGAAAACGGGGGAGTGAAGGGGGAGCAAGGGCGTGGTGAGGGATGAGCAAAGAAGCAGACGAGTGGAGTGAAGGGAGAGCGACGAGTGCAGAAAGTGAAAGAATGATGCGTGCATGAATGGACTGCTGCAGTGGCACACCCAAGAGACCTCGTACCAGCTGAACCAAACTAAAACAAATACCTGAGGCTGTACCAAGAAAAGATATACCTTCTACCTTTGGGGAGGGAGGTCTCATGGGTATGACAGATGGCAGTGAAAGAGAAAGTGTGGTGCATGGTGCAAGCACAAAGAGCTACAGCGTGCGAGGGTTGAAGAAGGCACTTAGCTGGCGGTTGAAGGACCAAGGGAGAGCTGATGCTGCTGCCGCGCGACCATTTTGCCATGCCACGATTCGCAGATGAAGATTTCGCCATTCGACGAATGGCAGACGACGATTCCGTCGTGCGACGACGCGCGGGCGACGAAAGCCTCACCAAAAAACGCGCAACCACAAACTGGCGACGCCTTATCACATAGCAAGCGGCCGCCAACCATTTTCTTGGCGAGACAGCGTGAGCATAACCTGCACAATTTCAAGAAGAAGAAGAAAAAAAGATCAGTTGGTTGAAAAAGAGGTGAGACTAGGCTACGGATATTACTACAAACGATGAGAAACGGACTGAAAACGGCGAAATGACGCTCACCAGAAGTCGCTGAATTTCGATTGACGACTTCACTGCAGCTTGGCGACGACGTACAAATCGCTGAAGCGTGTCGAAGTCGAGTTCAAGTGGTCCGTGAACGTGAATAAAACCTGCAATGCGAAAATAATCGCAATCTGGTTAGTAAAATCTCGCATGTGAAAAACAAGCTAGAATCTGCGAGAAATGACCAATCAGCGACGAAGTACATACCGAAATTCGGAGGCTGGAGCTTCACAGCGAACTGAGTGCAGCTTGGCGGATTTGGCTGCTAAATCGCGAAGTTTCCAATGTTAATCTAAAAACGATTTCGATGCGAGCGGTAAGTTACGGCTACCGGAAACAAAATAAAAGAGCTTCGCTAGCAAGACGAAGGAGAATGCTCTCAGGTAGCAAAACCTCAGCTGAAAACGAGAAGAATGAGCCATGTTGGAAAGACATTGAGCCGAAAATGGCTGAGAACGGGCCAGAATCAGGCGAGGGGGTCACGGATTGAGGCTCAATACCCCCCGCAATGACGGTGGATTCTCATAGACTAGATCTAACGGTGTAAAATTGAGGAGGGTGTGGCTAGATTCAAATCTCAACCGTAGGTCGAAGTTTCAACGTGGCACATGATTGTGCGGTTCAGGTGGTTTGGAACCCTCCGTTTGCTACACTCCGTCACGTGTCTCAATCGCCGTCAAGCGGCTGCATCGAGAAAGAGAATCCAGAGATCTCCCAGAAAGGGTCCGTTAACGGAAGCGGGAATCAAGGGTAGGAAGGAGCGAACGAAAAGCCTATGATTTTCGACCGTCGATTGGTAAATCTATCAGGTGGATCCGTCATCCCGCCAGTTCCGCGCGTCGCTCAATCTCGAACTGCCGGTGTAGGCCAATGAGAGGCCACGAAACTCTAGCTGTGTAAGGAAGCCGTTGTGATTCGAAATGGGATCCCCGTTGTACTTGGAGGCGGGAATTCCGTTGTGTTGGTGATCTCTGGTTGGAGCAAGGCTAGTTTCCAATAAAAGCAGTTTCGTTTCTGGGTGAAACCCGATGGTGGCGAAAGGGCAGACTGGCGAAGTTGCAATCTCTTGTCCCTCGTGGCAGTGAATTCTGTAACCATCTTGCTACTGGCACTTCGTCACATTTTTGGATGCTGGTGCCCCTGACTCAAGCCAATGAGCGTGAAGACAATCTCGTGACGTGGCAACTTGTTGCCTGACCTCTGGGGTATTTCGCCATCGAGGTTTGGTTGGGTAGATTTGGCTGAAATGTGGTCTGGCCTAACGCAGCTTGATTGGTTGGTAAAGGCAGTTCAGTGGTTTGGTTTCCGAGCCCTCTGGTTCGGTTCCCACTGGTGAGGTTTCGCCAGTTGTCCACAAGCCTTGACCTCCTCAAAATCTTCCATCTCCAAGAATCTGTACCAGACATGTGGCTGAAGAGATTGCTGGACCATTGTCTGCCGTTCGATTACATAAATATGGAGGAAATAATACTTTGGCTGGTCCAATAACCCTCTGTCCTGAAAACGCCCTAGCCGCAATCGAGGCTCGGCCATACCTGACTGTCTGCTGAACCCAACCGAAGTCAGTCAGACCTCTGCCCTGTGGCTCACGTTACTGGACCGACCATGCTGCAGGAACCAACTGGAGTCACAACACAAGCAACCAGCAGCTTGCGACATTGCAACATCAGAGGGAGGACTTCAAAATCCTCCATTGCTCAGCATTGTGACATTTCAGCTTCAGATTGTCATTTGTAGACCACCCTGCTGTAAGGACGTCACAGCCCGTTGCCTGTCAAGTCCTCCGCTTGATCCTTTCTCCCCTCCGACTTTTCGAGCATGGATTTTTTCAACAAGGCCGCTTCCCTTGTTAGCGCCGCTACGGAGAAAAAAGAGGAAGTAAGCGTTAGTTTCGGCATGATTAATTTGGTTGTGGTTAGAGCACGCGTTCGTATTATTTGACGCGCGACTTTTTAACACTAGGTTCTGCTCTTCTTTGCAGGCAGCGCCCGCAGCCGCGCCCGCAGCTGAGGGCATCAGCATCGCTGGCATCTCGCTGCAGGATGCAGCTGGCTATGTCGAAAAGGCGAAAGCAGCGGTAGCTGTTGCACAATGCAACGAGGTTAGTGTCATTCATGTAATATCACTATCCGATTTATGCGTCTCCGTACACGCGAAATCTCACTTGCCGTTGTCCCTGGACAAACGCAGGCGGTGAAAAAAGCAGGTTTTGACGACGAAGCCAAGATGCTCGGGGATCTCCTTAGTAAAGCTGAGTCGGTAAGTACCCCGATTTCTCAAAAGTGTTAAATTTGCATACGGATACTTCTCAATCTACCCTTTTCTTGCTGCAGATGATTCCTGGCAAGCCAGCGCCTGCTCCTTCTCCTGCTGCTTCTGCGCTTTCTGCTGCTACTGCCGCGCTTTCAGCTGTTACTGCACCTGCAGCGGCGACGCCTGCTGCTGATGCGTCTCCTGCTGCTTCTGCGCTTTCTGCTGCTACTGCCGCGCTCGCAGCTGTCGCTGCCCCTGCAGCTGCTGCTGCACCTGCCGCCGCCGCTGCGCCTGCTGCTGCGCCTGCCGCTGACGCTGCTCCTGCTGCTGCGCCTGCCGCTGCCGCTGCTCCTGCTGCTGCGCCTGCCGCTGCCGCTGCTCCTGCTGCTGCGCCTGCTGCTGCCGCTGCGCCAGCCGCCGCCGCTGCGCCTGCAGCAGCTGCTCCTGCTCCCCCTGCTTAAAGCGGAGCAATGTGACGCCTGCACAGGCAAAGGTTCACCTCGCCAGAAATGTGTCATTCTGGCTGCTGAGGAACCCACATGAAAGTTCACGGAGTACACCTGCTGTCGCAGAATGATCTAGCTCTCTGTATATGCAGGCAGGATGCCGTAAGTTGAGTAGTCCCTTCAATGAGTCGGTAGTCCCTTCATGGGTACTTGATATATGACTAGTATTCATTCTTTTGGTGATACTGACAGCTACTGGTAGTGCTCCAAAGCTTAGAGACCACTTCTTGTGCCCTAGCAGGCAGATGTTGCCACTAAGCAGACTTGTTCATGGAAAGCATGATAATTCTGCTTTGAAGTGCAGGTGCTTGGATACATGATGCTTGTACATTCCAGTAGTTCGAGAAGATTCAAAGCCTGCGCGAAGAGACCTAGGGCTCAACAATCGATTGGATGAAACAGCCTCATACCTATCTTGGAGATACACTCAAGCTGGCATGCACGTACGTTATTCCTATCTTGGGGTTGTCATTCAGAAGAGCCCTTGACGGTACAAGTCTCTTCAAACAACTTGTCATGTTATGCACTTATGTTTGCTAAGCCGCATCGATCTGTGCTGCAGCACCAGTAGCTGTATAATCTTCTGTGGAAGCCTCAGGTTCGAAGACTTCAGGAACGTTGAAACTCGGATTCACTTGCTGATTTACTGCTTCCACAACCTCTGATGGAACGTATCGAAAGAACTTGTCCAATCTTGAAATAGCGGCCTGCATGAGAACAAATGCAGCAACTTAGAAAGCAGGACAAATGGACTGAGGCATAATGGGGTCAGCTGAGAGGGTACTTGATGCATACCTTGATAGATTTGAGGCTGAAAGTGAGGAACTCCAACCCGCACAGACAAAGGAAGTCAGGCTGCAGTGAGATGGGAGGATAAATGGAGAAGAGAACAGAAAATCCATCACTACTGTATGCCGGGGAACTTTGGACGATAAGGCATGGCTTACTGTTGTGATGGGCTTGGAGCACCCATGTTCTCAAAATAATTACCGTAGTCCGCCTGCATTCACTCGGCAGCAGGCATATCAACATAGGGCACAACCAATGAACGTTAGAGAGGGAGGGCCTTTCACTGTAGAAAGATTGATAGGTGTCTGGGAAGAGCGAGTTTGCATCGCAGTAAGGGAGTGCGGAGGTGACAGTGAGATGCTGAAAACACACCTGCTGCAGATAGTCTATGATCTCAAACGCGAGTTCTTTTGCTGGCTGTTGTGACTTGTCCTCTAAAAGAACAGTGGCGCTGCAGAGGCTCAGGCAGGGGAGGATGGATGGGAAAACGCAAGGTGGATGGATGGATTATAAGAAAAGGTGCACCAACAAATGGTGGCACCAGGGGAAACGCGAAGGAAGTGGGGCGTTTTGGAACGGGATAAATAAATCTGCACAAAGAAAATTTCATTCAACGACAGCCAGGATCTGAGTCGAGGAGGGAGAGGGGTGGGGGAATAGTCACTATTTGCAATGAAAGACAACGATCTCTAAGGCGTCTACTCTGCGACTGTTGTACCTGACAAGATTCTCTCTGACGCTGTCGATAGTGCCCACTGCAAAGCGCAGCTGTGAGCGCAGCGCCACAACATCTGGCATGGATGCACCGATGAGGGAGAAAAATCAAAGCAGAGAGACACATGTTTGTTGCATTGCCTATGAGTCCCAACTTTGCATACAGTGGCTGGGAAGAATTCTTCAGGTGCAGCGGCAAGCCCCCCAGTGCGCAACAAGCCCCCCACAGCGCAACATGCGCTCTTTCTGCACACCAAGCCCCACCCCCGCCCCCCCCCCCCCCCCTCCTTCTCACCCCACAATGCAACAAGCGTCCCCCACTGCAGAATAAGCTCTCTGCTTCCCAAAATGCAGAAAGTACTGACCAAGCGAGTCTGCTTGTGATACGATGGCCTGGAGAGCCAATTGCAGTCGGACAAGTGGCACAACGTAGAAGAAGAGAGGCTTGGTGGGAGGGGCCACTGTGAGTGGAATGTCGTACTGGAGGGGGGTGGGGAGAGGGGGAGGAGCGGAGTTGGGAGTGGGGGTGGGAGGGGGAGTGGGAAAAGGAGTGGGAGGACCAGACATACGAGGGAACTTTTGAGACGTCTCAATTGCGGTTTTTGTGCGGGGGGAGAGGTTGGGAGTGGAAGGGTCAGAGATAGGAGAAGAGTTTGGACTCGATTCAAGGAGCATCTGCAAGGTGGACTGGCTGGAATGTGGCTCGGTAGGAGCAGATAGGGGTGGGAGGGGGAGTGGGGGTGCAGGAGCAGATAGGGGTGTGCAGGAGAAGGGAATAGAAATCCAGGAAAGTTCTCATCTCGCCTCGTGAGCGAGTACGAGGGACGAGATAGATTGTGCCTTACCAAGGCGACGGGAAGCGCCAGCACAGCGAGGCCGGCGCCAATGAGCAGCCGCCGCGTGACAATGCCGTCTCTCTCCTTGCCGTCAATTTCGCCGTCCCCCTCGCTGCCGGCCTGCGCGCTCAGCAGCTCCGTCTCCGTGAACCCCCACGACCGCGCTGCTCCTTTCTTGCCACCTGCGGGATGAATGAACGCCGCGCATAACGACAAGCAGAAGGAGGGTGAGACGACGTCAAGCGCCAGGCGCACAGCAGCTGTGTCTCCGTGAACCCCCACGACCGCGCTGCTCCCTTCGTGTTCCCTGCGCGACGAGCGCCGCGCATACCGACAAGCAGAGCGATAAGGGCGATACGCCGTCAGGCGCCAGGGAGGGCATGGGGAGCGGTACGGACGCGAGAAGGGGAGCAAGACCTCAGGTGACGAGGGAATGGAGTGTCAGATTAAGGCGAGAGGAAAAGGAAATGGTGGAAGGGAGAGGGGATTGTTACTGGAGAAGGCAAATACCGGTGACAACGGGTCCTTGGAAGATGGTTTCGCGAGCGCCGGTGCCGTCGATGTACACGTCGCTGTTGGGCTTCATGCGGATCAGATTGTCCGCCTTCTCCAGCCGCCGCTGCTCCAACTCCAGCCGCAGCGCCGCAGCCTCCGCCTCCGCCTTCGCTAGCCTTGCTGCCAGCTCTTCCTTTTCCGTGTCCGTCTGTTGCTGCTGCTCCGGTTTTTCTGGCGTGGCTGACGCCTGAAGCGACGGAAAAAAGCAGGAGTAGTATGTCAATGTCAATTTCATTGGTTTTGATCAACGTGTTTGTTGTCGTTGCACTTGCTATTTGGCATTTAGGGTACGTCTTGAGAGAGCATGAATATTTGTGCTGATTTATCCTTACGGTGATAAAATTTCTCCTTTGGACTAATCCCAACAGTTTAATGTCGTCTTCTCGTTCTTCATACTTCATCATATGCTTGTTCATGCTCTTACCTCATCATTAGAACCTGATCGCACCGCCAGCTGACGACATTTGAAAGCCGAACGCTCAACAACGACAGGTGGTCTGGCGGCGAATCTGGAGAGACTGGCGGAATTCCATCGTGAAATGCGTTTGTTCCTGCATCCCTGACTAGCCACTGGTACAGTCTGCACGCGAGCGGGAGAGGCGAGCCCGATCATTGTTGCAAAAGCCAGCGGATCAGACCCAGTTTACCGTGTCAGGCTAAGGTCGTTAGAGGAACTTCACTGACACTGTCAGGCTAGGGTCGTCCGAGGAACTTCACTGACACGGAAATATTGGAAATTCGCACTATGCAGGAATTTGACTGGGCAGAGCATTCCGTCAGGTAGAAGTAGTGTCAAGGGGTGGGAGAACCTGGAGATTGGTGTGTGAAACTGACCTGGAGAATGCCGAAGGTGTCTGAGTGGAAGGGGAGTCTACGTGGCTCGCTGGTAGCCCCTTCTCAAGCCACCTGTACTGAAAGCTGGGTCATGGCTGATCTGGCGAGGATCTTCGGCGAAGGCGTTGTCTTCGATACAAGCGGGATGCTTGAGGTTTCCAGATTGCTGGACTCCGACTACTGTACACCCGTGAATGTCAACGTAGGAAAAGAAATTGGGTTTGATGAAATAGCTTGGCAGCCGATTCTTGATTTCCTCTTTCAAGAAATCGGAATTTTCAAATGCTTGAGCTTGGCGCGAAAGCCTCCCATTGGGGCGTGACGCTTCTACTGGTCGCCCTTTTGAGCACCCAAATGCAAGCCACAAGAAAGCTTGTCTTCTGTTTGAGCACCGTCAGGCGGAACGGACGCACCTGCGCGTCATTCCAAGACATGGCTGCGCCATGGCATGTGGAATCAAAGCAGGCGTGGGTGGGGGATTCCGTGCGGTGCCTTCCGCGCAGATTTTATTCCGTGGTGGGTGGATGGATGGATGGTCAATTGGCGGGGGAGGGAGGGAGGAAGTGGATGTTGCTGCGGCGAATGGAGTGTTATGATTGGCTGCCTTGATGCCTCGCTGGTCGCAAGTGTCATCGAGTCATCGAGTCTAGTGGATGAAAGTGAAGTGCTTTCTTGCCGGTTGGTTGGTGGCATGGCAGGATGGTCGTTTGTCCAGCCTGTTCGCCGAAAGTGAGGACCCACTGGAGGCCCCAGAGTGGAACAACAAAGCGGCAGTCGCAAACGTCGCAAATGTCGCTTGAGTTACATTATCAGCAGCAGAAGCACTCTAGCTGGAGTCGCCAAGAGTTCCGCTCTACATTTCGCTGACCAATGAGAGGCGTACAGCCTGAACACCACGCCACCAACAGCAGCTTTGGCATTTGCCACAGCGGTGGTGACTGACAGCGGGGGTGACATACGAGAGTTCGTGTTCGCCGGAAACCCAGAGATATCGTTTACAAACTCAGTTAACCGGATTTAAACGCAGAACGTCCTGTGACACGCCATGGACTGCTCACGGTCGTCGTCAACAGTTCGGAGCTACGGGGATTTCCGTACCTTGCCTCACCGTGCCTCGCCAACCGCGCTGCCTGGAACGTTTTCTCTGGCTCTCCTGCGCTTGCTCTTCATCTTCCAAGCAATCCGCCGTTTCCCCCGTTCCCGCAAGAAACGGGTTGCGGGAAACGTCCGCTAGAAGCCACCTGTCGCCAAGCCACTCCCCGCACGCATGGCATCATTCCGCTGGTTAGCTCGTTTCTTGAATGGCGGACCTCACGTTCCAAGGTTCAGCCATTAATTATTTCACCTAGGGTTGTTCGGACCATATGGGAAGCGAGGCTCATGAAGCTTTCGGAAGCCCCACAGCAGCTCTAAACTCCTTGCTGGGGCTTTCTTGTTCTCACAGCCATCTTGCTGATAATTCGGCTGAGGGTAATTTTGTGCTGAAGCGCTGTTCTATACCACGCCAATTAACAAACAGCAGCACGCTAAACGTTAATAATCAGAATCTTGCCGGTCATAACCTAAATACGGCATTTCATCCGCGCTCTAAGAGCAGTCGGTCTAAAATAGACGACGGGTCATTGTCCACTGGTGCCCAGCAACTTGCGGGTTTATTTCTCGCGTCCATTCTTAAGCGCACCTGCGCGCGAACAAGGGGTTGGCGTGCGACCCTTAGCCAACGTAAGAGCAGTCAAGCAGAGCAGCTTCGGTCTTGCCTTCCTAAGACCGGAGTTAAGGTGACACGGAAGACAGACGTCGCATCTCCGACGAAATCCCCGAGACGCGCAGACGAAGACAATCCTTTTAGCGTCGTAAAAGCGAAGTCTGTTCGTCATAAGCTCTCTCCGTCCGCTTTTCACGCTACTGATTTTTCTGTCTCTGCTGACGGCGCTATCGCAGTCGCCGTCGCTCCAGCAGCAATGGCTCCCGCGTTCAGAGCGACGGAAGGATCGGCAAACGTCTCGACGGAACTTCGCAGGGCAGGAGCTAAGGCTAATGCGTCCGGAAAGCCGGCGATTGCTGAAGCCGTGAGCAGCGCGAGCGGTTCTGACAGGTTCCAAACTGCTGCTGAGAACGGTCCTGGTTCTGGCTGTAGTAGACTCCTAGCGTCTGCCGCCAGTGCTGCCGTTTCCTCCGGCGTGGTCGTTAACGCCTCAGAAGTACAAACATCCGGGGTACGCTTGAGATTTGGCCTGATTGTTTTCGCAGTTCCGTTCCTTTGCCTCTGCTCAAATCGCTTTTCGGTGGTTGATGTGGTTCTCTCTGCATCTTAATTCAGTGTGCATTCCTGGTTCCCTGTCGTTCTTAGTTCTTTCTTCGAACTCGGATGTTTTTTTATGGTGCGCCTTTGTTGCTCTGCAGACCGCGGTTATTACCGACGCGTGTCCCTCGTTCGTAAATTCCGAGCTGGCTACGTGTGACCTGGCTGCGAGAATGGCGGATCATGCGGACGTGGCAGCTGAACTGGATGGGGACGGACACAACCACGAGCACCCACGATGTTCGCCAGTGCTTCGTCGCAAACCGATGGACGTGCCTATGAAGATGGTTCGCCAGCTCTTCGCGACGGGCGATAATAATCACACGGGATTGGACGAAAGGAAAGAGGACGGCGTGAGGGACACGTGGACCGAGTCCTTGGAGCCTGATTTTCAGTTCTCTGATATGAATGTGCTTATGTCGAGCGGGCTTGATGGCATAACGTTCGATTCGTCGACCGGAGAGTGTGCTGGAGAGGGGGATGACGCATCTGACGCGAAGGGAAGAGAGAAAGGCGAAGAGGACAAGGAAGGGGAAGAGGAGGGATTGGAAGAGTTTGAAGAAGAAATAGAATTGGTGATTGAGGAATATGATGTGAAGGAAGAGGTGGAGGTCGGAGAGAAGGGTGAGGAGCAAGAGGATGAATTGGAAGAGTTTGAAGAAGAAACATTCTCGATTGAGGAAGATGATGTGAAGGAAGAGGTGGAGGTTCGAGAGAAGGGCGAAGGCAAGGAGCAAGAAGAAAGCGACAGTGATGAGGACGAGGATGAGAGTGAGGAGGAGGATGAGGATGAAGAGGAGGAGGAGGGAGATGAGGAGGAGATAGAAAATGAGGGGAGGAGGAAGAGGAGTTGGAGGAGGAAGAAGAGGAAATGGAGGATGGCTATTCGATTGTTCTAAAGGTTGGTCAGGTTATGTTGCCATGCAAGGTGAGGTACGACAACGAGGAGATTGTTCAGATTGTGAAAGCAGTGGACGATTCGGAGATTGTGGAGGTGGTTGATGACGTGGCAGATAACGATGACGTGGCAGTCCATGACGTGGACAGGCACAAGGACTGCCAAGGACACGGCCGAACCTGCACGTCTCTTACTGCGGCCAGTGGCAGCCCGCCACGTGTCCTCTCCCTGTCCATGGAGAATTCCTCCCCTCCCGCTCCTTCCTCACCCACCTCTCCTCTCCACTATCCGCCCATCTCCTCCTCCCCGCCTCCCACTGAGTCCCTAGAGCAATTGCTCGCACCTCCCACCATCCCCACACCTCCCTTTCCACCCCCTCGTAAGAGCATCCTCAAGCCCTCGTTTGTGGAACGCTGCGGTAACGCAGCGTCCTCCTGCAGGGTCACGAGTGGCAATGCCATGGGAACCGCGGGTCGGAAGCGGCAGAGGGAAGGGAGCGAGAGTGGCAGTGCGTGTGGTGGAAGGAAGGACGGGCAGGGAGGAGGGGTGGGAGGAGGGGTGTCAGAAGGGGCTTTCGTGGAAGCGAGGGGGGTGCGGCCGACAGCACGGGAGCGAGTGGAGAGGCAGATGGAGGTGGCAGAGGCAGCAGTGAGAATGCTCGTGGAGCGATGCAAGGTGAGGAGGCATGATAGATGGGAGGGAATGCGGGTCTGGGAAGGTGGGGGCAGAGGATAGAGGGATCGAGGGAATAACATCGGGGTGAGGGATGCGAGGACATGCAGCAATATCTTTGCGTTTTGAAGTACTGCAATGTGTGAATGTACCTATTTGCTGAGTCTACCCATTTGCTGGAACCCAACCCTCTTTTGTGTGGTGGTTATGCAGGTTGATGTTTCACATGGCCAAGGAGCGTCTGTGCCGTCCTCATTGGCTGATGATGCCCTCCACCAGATGGAGCAGCTGCGCCATGCAGTCCTGGACATAACCAAGGTATGCTGCTCCCATTCCCTCCACTCCAGTGGTTGACATTAAGATCACCGCTCAAGAAAACTGACTTGTAGTTTGGTTCTTTCCTTAGTTTCCATCTGGTTGGGAAATGCCATATCATTTACAGTGTGCGGTTGCCTCCCTTGCTGAATGTTTTTTCAACCCCCCTCTACACTTCTCATCCTCCGTTTCCTGTTGTTTTTTCCTTTCCCAGCCGCGCAAGCGCCTTCGATTTGCAGACGAGCTTGGGAACGAGCTGAACCATATCCGTTTCATTCAACCCAGGGGGTGATCAAGTTTGAAGGTTTCTGGGCATCTGTGTGCACAGTGCCCCACTTCTCTGCCTTGCATGATGGCTTCTCCCATTTTTTATGTCTTAGATGATGCTTCACGGCTGTTTGCGTTGCAGCCAGTAAGTGTGCTGCTTGCATATCTGTTAACAATATTTGTGGGACTAGTCAAGTTTTTGCCTGCAAGCTAATGGATTTGAAGTGCTAGAGAGAAGTACCGTAGGATAGATGATTGACATCACTCCATTGAAATGACAAAAGCCAGTGCTCTCATCGAATTATCGAGGTCAATCGCCACTGATCTTACCAAAGCGTCACGCAGCTGGGCTCAAGGTGCACGCAACCATCTCTCCATTGCCACTGGCTCGCGAACAGGCGATTCCCGGTCTACACCACATTCGAGAATGTCGCATTTGACGTCCTCGTCGCGCCTAGGAAACTGCCTCGGGGAGGTGTGACAAAATCGATGGCTTCACACGGTCAGGCCAAACCAGCAAGGCCAAACTGCTGTTCTTCAGCTCATCTGTGTTTCTCCACCTTGCATCAGCACTTTCGCCCTAGTGCCTAGCTTCGGAATCCATCTTAGAAGTAAGCGCACGTGTGGCTGGTAGCCTCTCTAGATACCGTGATAGCGTGATTGGGGGCATATGTCCATGGTGCACTGATTCTCCTTCGCCAGGTGAACCGCGCATAGCAAGCATCACGTGTTACCATGGATTCCAGCCAATCGCAGCGTGCCGCGCAGGCGTCAGTAACGGACCCCTTCTTCGATCTGCTCCAGCCATCCGCCTCAGCCCCTAAGCCCGCGCCTGGCGCTACCGCGTCGTCCGCGCTCACCAGCGGATCTCCGCCGTCCAACGACCCCGCGTCGCCGTTCGTCCGCTCCCGCAGTCCTCCCGCCGACTCGGCCTTTCCAGGCTCCGCGTCACGCGGTGGCATGACAAGCTCGTTTCCCGAATCTGGAAAGCATGGGAACAATACCGGGGGTGGTGGGACTAGTGGCGGACTTGGTTCTGGCTTGTCTGAACTTGCTGGTGGTGGTGGTGGTTCTGGTGGCTCGTCCTTCAATTTCCTCAGTTCGCAGGTGTGTCTAGGCTGATTTCTGATCTCTTTTGGACGTCCGAGATTTGTGCTGTTTTGACATCTAGATTGGAATTTGTGTGGTCATTTTCTCAGACTCCTCACCCATAAGAACCCTAGCTCAGCCGCCGTAGCGCAATCAGAGTACGCTTTTTCTTGACGCACGTTTCTTCTCTTCCCTATCCATGGCCTATTTGTTGGGCCTTTTATCTTCCGCGTGGTGCTTCTAGTCTTTTTCTGCGAATTTCCAAGGTCTTTCCCGCTGCGCCTCTCATCTTCCTGTCTCTTTTCTTTTTTTTTTTTTCAATTTCTCCTCTTTCTCCTCTTTCACCCGCTTTCCTCATTCCCTCTTTTTCAACCGCTCCCGCCTTTCCTCCCCGCATCCCTCTTTCTCCTGCCAATCAGGGCCCAACCCACTCCCAACCTCAGCATCCCTCCCCACCTCATCCATCCTTTTCCACTGGAGACGGGGGCATGGGCGGCGGCGGAATGGTGGGTGCTAACCTGGGGGGAGGGGGCAGCATGGGGGGAGCAGCAGGGGGAGCGGGAGGCGGGGGAGGCGCAGGGGGCGCGGGGGGCGCGGGGGGCGCGGGGATGCGCGCAGCAGCAGCAGCGCGCGCGCCAGCGACAGCAGGGGACGTGGCGCAGGTGGCAGCGGAGGTCACCTCTGCCATGGAGCACCTGCTGCAGCGCTTCTCCGAGGGCGTCTCTGCTGCTCTGGGGGACGCGAGCAGCAGGGTGCGGCGCGTGGAGGCGGCGGTGGCGGCGCTGCAAGGAGCGGTGGATCGTGCTGCTGGGGATGACGGGGAAAGGCACGCGGAGATTGACTCGCGGCTTCGATCCGTGGAAAACGTGCTTCTAGAGGTGAGTGTGTGCTTCTAGAGGTGATTGGTCATAGTGAGAGTGTATGGAGCAATCAGCCAAGGTGAGCACCAGCGGAGGTGACGTGCGCCATGGAGCGCCTGCTGCAGCGCTTGTCCGAGGGCGTCTCTGCCGCGCTGGGGGACGCGAGCAGCAGGGTGCGGCGTGTGGAGGCGGCAGTGGCGGCGCTGCAGGGGGCTGTGGACCGTAGTGCGGGCGATGACGGAGAGAGGCACGCGGAGATTGACTCGCGGCTTCGGTCGGTGGAGAATGTGCTTCTAGAGGTGAGTGTGTGCTTCTAGAGGTGAGTGTGTGCTGCTAGAGGTGAGTGATCATAGTGAGAGTTCATGAAGCAGCCAGCCAAGGTGAGCACCAGCGGAGGTGACGTGCGCCATGGAGCGCCTGCTGCAGCGCTTCTCCGAGGGCGTCTCTGCCGCGCTGGGGGACGCGAGCAGCAGGGTGCGGCGCGTGGAGGCGGCAGTGGCGGCACTGCAGGGGGCTGTGGACCGTGCTGCGGGGGATGACGGGGAGAGGCACGCTGAGCTGGATGGGCGGCTGCGATCGGTTGAGAACGTGCTGCTAGAGGTGAGTGTCTGTACTGAAAAACGTTAGTGGTGTTGAACGCCTGTGGTGGCGGCGCTGCAGGGCGCGGTGGACCGTGCTGCGGGGGATGACGGGGAGAGGCATGTGGAGCTGGATGGGAGGCTGCGATCTGTGGAGAACGTGCTCTTAGAGGTGAGTGTCTGTACTGAAAAACATTAGTGATGTTGAACGGCAGTGGTGGCGGCGCTGCAAGGAGCTGTGGACCGTGCTGCGGGGGATGACGGGGAGAGGCATGTGGAGCTGGATGGGAGGCTGCGATCTGTGGAGAACGTGCTCTTAGAGGTGAGTGTCTGTACTGAAAAACGTTAGTGATGCTTTTGAGTCGACTCAAAAGTGAACGGCAGTGGTGGCGGCGCTGCAAGGAGCTGTGGACCGTGCTGCGGGGGACAAGGGGGAGAGGCACGCGGAATTGGACGGGAGGCTGCGATCTCTGGAGAACGTGTTGCTAGAGGTGAGTGATTATAGCGAGAGTTAATGAAGCAGCCAAGCAAGGTGAGAACCAGCGGAGGTGACATGCGCCATGGAGCGCCTGTTGCAGCGCTTCTCCAAGGGCGTGTCTGCCGCACGCCTCTCCCTCCATCCTCCCCTCCCCCTGTATGCACCACTCTGCCCTCTCCCCGCATCCTCACCCACCAGGTGCAGCGCAACCTGCAGCTGATGCAAGACAAGCACGAGCATGCACAGACACAGCCCCCCCCCCCCCTTGCCTGTGTAACACTGTCCTCCCCCCACCCCTCCCCCCACCGCGTGCATCAGGTGCAGCGCAATCTGCAGGTGATGCGGGACAAGCAGGAGCTGGCAGAGGCACAGGCGGAGCTTTCCAAGCTCAAGTTCCTCGCCCTCCCCGCCCCCCCCTCCGCCTCCTCCTCCTCCGCTGCTGCTGCTGCTGCTTCTGCTGCTGCTGCTGCCCCTCTGCCTCCACCACCAGTGGCTGAGCCAGCATCAGCAGCAGCGCCAGTGCCTGCTGCTGCGTCCGCCCCTCCCGCTCCTGTCCCCTCTGCGCCCCCTGAAGCCTCCGCCCCTCCTCCTCCTTCCCCCAGCCCCTCTCCGCCTGCCCCTGCGCCTGCGCAAGCTCCTCCCCCTGCTCAGTACCAGGCACCCCCGCCACCACAGCAGCAGCAGCAGCAGCAGCAGCAGCAGCCAACCATGCCGCCTCCTGCTCCCATGTACCCGCAGCAGCAGCAGCAACCGCAACAACAGCAGCCGCAGCAGTCCTATGCTTCTCCTGCCCCGCCTGCTCCTGCTGCTGGTGGTGCCCCTCCGTATATGCAGCAACAGCAAGGCCAGTATAATATGCAGCCTCAGCAGCAACAGCCGCAGCCGCCACAGAAGCAGCAACAACCGCAGCAGCTGCAGCAGCAGCCGCCACAGCAGCAACAGCAACAGCAGGGCGGGCAGCAGATGTACCAAACGCCACCACCACCGCCCATGGCACAGCAACCCCCTCCGCCTTACCCTCCCCAGCAGCAGCCCGCTCCTCCCCCTGCTGCCTCCGCCCCTGCTCCCCCCCCATACGGCTCCATGCCCCCCCCTCAAGGCATGTACGACCCTTCTGCTGCCGGTGCTGCCAGCGCTGCTGCTGCTGGTGCTGCAGCAGGGGGAATGTATTACCAGCAAAACGCACCTCCCCCTTCCATGCCCCAGGGACAGATGCCCCAACAGATGCCCCCGCCTCAGATGCATTCTCAGATGCCACCTCCACCAGGTGTACCCATGCAGGCACCGCAACCCCCTCAGCAGCAGTACATGCAGGGGCAAGGGCCATCCCCGTCCTACCCCCCTCCTCCGCCTGGTTATGGTGGTCCTGCTCCCCCTCCCCAGCCCCCGGGTATGTATAGGGTTGCCCAACCCCCTCCCCCATCCATCCCCCCTACTGCCGGCCCGCCTAGTGGGTATAGACGCTTGCCCATGGCACAGCCTGTCAGCAGCAGTGGCAGCGGCGGGGGAGGGAGAGTGGGGAGCGGAGGGGGAGGGGGGGGTGGAGGGGGTGATACAGCGAGAGTGCCTTTAGATAAGGTGGTTGATGACGTGGCAGCCATGGGATTCCCAAGGGATAAGGTTCGCATGGTGGTGCAGAGGCTTATGGAGAGAGGCAAGTCGGTTGATTTGAATGCTGTGATCGATGAGGTGATGAATGGAGGGGGTGGGGCTGGGGGGGGAGGAGGATGGTATGGGCGGTGAAAAGGCGGGAAGTGAGAGAGGGAGTAACCATGGTGGTGGGTGATTGAGAGAAGCAAGTCAGGTGACCTGCATGCAGTCATAGAGGAGGTGATGAATGGAGGGTGGGATGGGGTGGGGGGAGATGATTTTGGTACGGCCGATGAGAAGGGGGAGGAAGCAAGAGAGAGGGAGGAAGTATGGTGGTGGGTCATGGAGAGGGGCAAATTGGTTGATCTGAATGCGGTGATTGATGAGGTAATGATTGGAGGGGCAGGGGTAGGGCAGGTGCAGGGGTGTTGGTTGGTACGGCTGGTGTAGGTGTGAGTGAGTGTGATCGTGGAAGGTGCTGGTGATGAAGCTCTTGCTGATTGATAAAGAAAGGGAGCTGAATGGGAGGGAGTGCTTGTGAATGTTTGTGTGGGTGAAAGTTGATCTGATGGGAGTAAGGTCGGGGGTGTGTATTTTGGTATGTTGAGCTCTTGCAGTACGCATGATACTTGCTGTAAACATTGAGATGAGGCTACGACGACTGCTATCTTTTGCTGTCAATATAACCCTGACTATGTTGAAATGCGATGCAAGGCAGAACTTTTATCTGTTGCTGTCGGTTTGCAGGGTAATTCGGTAAAAGCAGCTGCAATGGAAGCACTATACATGGCACACTGCATAGAAGTGAATGTGATGCTTTCAGCTTATTAGTAAACGAGAGAGCACATACATATTATAATAGTTGTCAAGCTTTCACACATAACTGCTTATCCGCTGTCGGCTTATACCCCGGAAAGCAATCACAAGACGGGCTCCGACCGCCTCCAAACCAGCAGTACCCTTTCCCACCGCACGTGTTCGTATCCGCGTTACAAAATATCTTACACACATGCGTAGGCACTTGCACTTGCACAAGCCCAGCCTTCTCACACGGGCTCCCAACAGGGTAAGTGAGGCAGTTCTTAGCGAGCGAAGACTCGAAGAACACGCCTGTGTAGGTGTGGTTGACGGGGCAGAAGGACTGCCCGCCTGCGGTTACCACTGCCGGGCCGTTGAAGAAGTTGTTGCGCAGGTTGTACTGGCCGTAATCTATGAAGCGCGTACTGGGGAAGTTGGTGGGGAGAGGGCCAGTTAGCATGTTGTCGTGCAGGTTGCTGGGGGGGTGATTGGGAGAGGAGAGGAGAGGGGTGTGGGTGGATGCAAGGGATACGGGATAATTGTGAATTGTTACGCAGGTTGTACTGGCCGTAATCTATGAAGCGCGTACTGGGGAAGTTGGTGGGGAGAGGGCCAGTTAGCATGTTGTCGTGCAGGTTGCTGGGGGGGTGATTGGGAGAGGAGAGGAGAGGGGTGTGGGTGGATGCAAGGGATACGGGATAATTGTGAATTGTTACGCAGGTTGTACTGGCCGTAATCTATGAAGCGAGTGCTGGGGAAGTTGGTGGGGAGAGGGCTGGTCAGCATGTTGTCGTGCAGGTTGCTGGTGGGGGAGGGGGAGGGCGAGGCGGGAAGAAATGGCAGAAGGGGGAGGGGACTGGGTGAAGCGCATGCTGGGGAAGTTGGTGGGGAGAGGGTCTGTCAACATGTTGTCGTGCAGATTGCTGGAGGGGGGAAGAAGGGAGGGGAGGGACACAGAATGATTTCTTTGAAGTCTCAAATGAGGCGTGTGACGGGGAAGTTGGTGGGAGAGTGCTTGTCAACATGTTGTGCAGATTTTATGGATTTCCGAGAAATCAATTCAAGAAGCACCTCCGGCACTTAGAGAGCACTTGGGATTCGAATCTAGGTTGCATGTGGCACTCACAGGTAGGCGAGCTTGGGCAGCGAGGAAATGCCCTTTGAGGCGCCTCAAAAATCGTCTCTCTACCCACAATTTCTTAGGCGCCTCAAAAGTCGTCTCTCTACACACAATTTTTTAGGCGCCTCAAAAGTCGTCTCTCTACCCACATTTTGTTAGGCGCCTCAAAAGTCGTGGCACTTACAGGTAGGCGAGCTTGGGCAGCGAGGAAATGACCTTGGGGAACGTGCCGTAGAGGAAATTGCGCTCCAGGTAGCTGCGGGGAGAGGGGAGAGGGGTAAATGGGGAGCGAGGGGAGAGGGGACAGGGAGGAGAAGGGTCTACTTTTGAGGCATCTCAAACGGGGAAATGCCCTTTGGGAACGTGCCATAGAAGAAATGACATGCGGGCATGTGATGGTGATGTGGTTATGTCTCGTACAGTATGGTGATATGGTTATGTCTGTGAGCCTGCTCAGGCCCTCCGGCACTACGAGGTGAGGGGCAGGGATAGTAGCAATGGCAGCAGCAGCAGCAGCAGCAGCAGCGGCACTATGAGGTGAGGGAAAGCCCAAAAGTAGTCTCCTAGAAAAAGCGCCGCTTACAGGATGGTGATGTCTGTGAGTCTGCTCAGGCCCTCCGGCACTATGCCCCGGAAGTAGTTGTTGTCTAGCAAGCTGGCGAGGGGAGGGGGGAAGGGTGGGGAGGGGGGAAGGGTGGGGGGGGGGAAGGGTGGGGAGGGGGGAAGGGTGGGGAGGGGGGAAGGGTGGAGAGGGGGGAAGGGTGGAGAGGGGGGAAGGGTGGAGAGGGGCTTGTTAGACGTCTCAAAAGTCTGCTGAGGTTCTCAGGCACTATGCCTCAGAAGTAGTTGTCGTCTAGCAAGCTGGGGACAGAGGGAGGTGGGGCGGGGGGAGAGAAGGGAGGGTGAGGAGGAGAGAGCAGCTTGAGCAGAGTTGTTGGGATTGGGGAAGATAGGGGGAAGCGAACGGAAGAGGTTGATTAGAGGTGGGGCGGAGAGCAGGGAGAGGGTGGTTGAGGGGGGGAGGAGGGAGAGGGTGGTTGAGGGGGGAGGAGGGAGGCATTACAGTCGCTGCAAGCGCGTGAGACGGGTGATGGATGGTGGGATGGGACCGCTGAAGTTGCAATACTCCATCACCCTGGTGAAGAGGAGGGGTATCAGGCACGGTGGAGGGAAGGGAAGGGAAAGGGGCGAGGAATAGGAAGGTATGGGGGTGAGGAGTAGAGGGGAATCCGGGAAGGGTGATGGATGGTGGGATGGGGCTGGAGAAGTTGCACAAATAAAGAGCAAAAGGTACTCACAGGTATATGAGATTGAAATACAAGTGAAGTATGAGGCACTGACAGCACTCACAGGTCTGTAAGGCCAACCATATTGCCTATATTGCGCGGCAGCCTGCCGGTCAGCTTGGGATTGCTGCTCATGAACCTGATGGGATGATGTAGGTAGTGGGAGGGGTGAGAGAGAGCGGACAAACGAGTTTGTTGCTGCCCGAGGAATTGAATTGGATGGTCGGAGATGCAAGAGGGGGGCATGAGAGCAGAGAGCACGAGAGCATGAGAGCACGAGAGGAGAGAGCACGAGAGCATGAAAGCAGAGTGCATGAGAGGACATACAGGATACGCAAGTTTCTAAGTCGGGTGATGGTGGCGGGGAGAGGGCCCGCAATGCTGTTCTGATTGATAAAGCTGCGAGGGAGGGATGGAGAGAGGTGGCAAAGGGGTAGGAGAGGAAAGAGATGACTAAAGTGAGAAGAGGGAATGAGAAGGAGAGGAGGGAAGAGGGAGTTTGAGAGGAGTGAGAGGAGGGTGGGAGATTGCAGTGGGCAGGCATCGGTGAGACAGAGGGCAGCGGTGAGAAGGAGTTGAGAGGAGTCGAGAGCGGTGGGCTCACAGGTTTTGCAGGTTGGTCATGGTGCCTCAAGGTGACAAGGAGTTTAGAGGAGTGAAGGGCGGTCGCCTCACAGGTTCTGCAGGTTGGTCATGGTGCCAATGGTCTTGGGCAGCCTTCCTGTGAACTTGTTGGTATCCACATACCTAGGGGGGGAGAGAGGGAGGGGAGGGGGGATGCATGGGGTTGGGCGGGCATGCAGGGGGGAATGAAGGCATTCAGGCGAGACGTCAAGTCAAGGACTTGGGCAGTCTTCCTGTGAGCTTGTTAGTGTCCACGTACCTTGGGGGGGAGAGATGCACACACACGGGATACACGCATGGGGGGCGGGGCGCGCATGGGGGACTCACATCAGCTTTACTCGCATGCTTCACCAGAGCAGCTAAAACATTCGACTGACTTGAGTGGCTCACTCACATGTAGTAGAGCAGTTTGAGGCGGCTCACGCAAGGGGGAATGGAGCCCTCAAAATGGTTCCCGCTGATGCGCCTGGGAGGTGCCGGGAGATGGGTTGGGGGGAGGTGGGGGGTGAGAAGAGGGGCAGAGGGAGGAGGGGTGAGCGGTTGGTAAAACGAGTTAGAAGACGACAAGCTGCTGAGGCGATGCAAGGCCACCTTTATTGAATAAAGGTGGCCTTGCAAGCTGTAAGCTCTCACGGTTCAGCACAAACTCACGGTCTGCAGCACTCACAGCTCTCGGAGCGTGGTCATGGTGCAGATGACGCTGGGGAAGGTGCCGGAGAGGAGGTTGGACGACCCATGGCTCAACACACACTCCCAGCAAACGGTACTACCCGCACTCGCAAGGCCCACTGCACTGACAGCACTCCCAAGGGCACTCCCATCCCATCCCATCCCAGGTCTCGCAGCACTCACAGCTCTCGGAGCGTGGTCATGGCGCAGATGACGCTGGGGAAGGTGCCGGATAGGAGGTTGGAGGACACAAAGCTGGGGAGGAGAGGAGTGGGGAGGGGGGGAGAGGAGAGGGGAGGAGAAGTATGGGAGAGGTGTGAAGGAGATGAAAGGTGGGAGGGGAAGAGAAATAGAGGGAGGAGAAGCATGGGCGCGGGAAGATCAGAGGGCATGAGAGAAAATCAATGAGGCTTGGAAGGCTCTGTGTTTTGGGCTGAAAGGGGACAACGGGTGGACAGGCTTTGAGGCTAGCGTGACTCACAGGCGGTAGAGGTTGGTGAGCTGAGAAAAGGTGTTAGGGATTCCACCCTTGAAATAGTTTATGTTGAGGTGCCTGCATGGCAAGGGAAAGGTGAGGGCGACGTGGGGAGGTGAGGGCGAGGTGGGGAGGTGAGGGCTTGGGAAGAAGGGATTGCACTTGGGATGCTGAAATGCTATGCTCATAGGAAAGATGGGAATAGACACGAGATTAGGTACTGAGCGATATAGTTTACAGTGAAGGAAGAAGGGGTGGGTGGGTGGGTGGTGGAGAAAGAAGGAATCCGGCATGCTGCAGCATGAAGTGAAATTGAAGAGTTTTGAGCCGCCTCACAACTCGTCTCCAATACAGACTTAGCTGGTAGGGACGGATGTGGTGTAGGGTGAAAGGAGGGGAGGGGAGGGGCAAGTTACGCACAGCTGGTAGAGGTTGCGCAGGTTGCCAAGGCCGGGTGGAATGGTGTGGTTGAAATAGTTGCTCCACACTTGCCTGCACACACACCCAGCGAGCACACACATGTTACATGTTACATGCACACCCCACCCGTGGGTGGGGTGCGGTGGGATGCAGTGGGGTGTGGTGGGTTGTGATGCGTGGGCAAGCAAGAGAGGGTGGACACGTGACAAAGTAAAATTAGGCAACTACTGCTGCATTATCTCCTGTTTATCTACTGTTGCATTATCCATATCAATGATGCACTATAAATAATAACTGTTTCACTGTGCACTCACAGGTTCTTCAACCGAACGAGCTTAGAGAGGTTGTTGGGAAACTCGTGTGTGAACCAGTTCTTGGTAACGAGCCTGCCAGTAACGGGGATACAGGCCAAGAGGGTCAAGAGGCAATACGGACCACTATTAATCAATGCACGTGGCGCACACGGGGACGAGGAAGGTGAGTAGGAGGCTGCTAGAGATGCTGTCAGCAACGGGGATATGGAAGGTGAGAAGGGGAGTGACAAGGGGTGCAGCAATACTGACAGCTCTTCCAGCGTGGTGAGGTCGCCTATGATCCCCGGCAGACTGCCGCGTAGGCCCATTAGCAGTGAGTAGGAATCAGTACACACGGCGATAGAGAATGAGAGTGGGAATGAGAGCAGCAGGGAGGGAGGTGACGAGGGGTGTGGCGAGGGAAGGGGTGCAGCAATACTGACAGCTCTTCCAGCGTGGTGAGGTCGCCGATGATGCCGGGTAGACTGCCGCGCAGGCCCATCCCGCTCATCTCCATGCGCCTGTTGGGGACACGGGCGTGGGGCGTGGGGCGTGGGGCGTGGGGCGGGGGGGGGGCGTGGGGCGTGGGGCGTGGGGGGCACGGGCATGTGACCGCAGACAGACAGAGGCAGGCACAAACACACAGGGGCAACCTCAAGGCACAAGCTGAAGGCGCCAGCTGAAGCGGTAGTGTGAAGGTGGAATTCGAAGTGGTGATGTGAAGTGATGGCAAATGCCCGAGTGGTAATGGACGGACGGGATGCGTTCGTCCATCTGCAGGCGCGGAATCAACGGACCTGATGGTGCCATCTGTCCAGCATCTGATCCGCGTCCACTGATCGCACGGCTTGGATCCGTCCCACGTGCTCAGATCCGCCCACTTGGACCACGTGGTCTTGAGGGCCATCATGGTGGGCACTGGGGGGGCGGAAGAGCGGGGAGGAAGAGGGGGGGGAGGGGGAGAGGTGAGGCTTGGATCCGTCCCACGAGCTCAGGTCCGCATACTTGGACCACGTGGCCTTGAGCGCCATCATTGTGGGCACTGGGGGGGCGGAAGAGCGGGGGAAGAGAGGGGGAAGAGAGGGGGAAGAGCGGGGGAAGAGAGGGGGAAGAGAGGGGGAAGAGCGGGGGAAGAGTGGCGATAGATGTGGCGGATGAGGGGTCCGCGTACTAGGACCACGTGGTCTTGAGAGCGTACTGGGGGGCTCATCACGGGTACTGGGGGCGTTGGGGGGAGGCGAAAGGGGGGGGGGGAATGGGGGGAGGGAGGATGACTTGGGAGAGGGAGGAGTAGGGGAAGGACCGAGGGGAGGAGCGAGGGGAGGAGCGTAGCATTGCAACGGTGTAAGGGAAAGATGGCCCTTTCGAGAGGCGTGCTTGAGCGTGGCAGCGCGACGAATAAGTGACTCACGTTGCGACTTGTCCACGTAGATGGGAGCCGCCATTGGATACGCGAAGCCCGCTGACGTGGCAATGAGCGCCGCGGGATCACGTCCCGCGCCACGCGTCGTGGCAATGCCGGCGACTCGCGCCGCGTCGTCGTCTTCCTCGTAGGTGGATTCTAGCTCCAACGCCGCGTCGCGGTCGTAAGAGGACTCGGGCGCGCTGCCGCTTCGGCCATCGCCGTCGCGCGCATCCCGCGGCAAGTGGAACGCGGAGGCTCGGGGAGCCGCGGAGCTCGCTGTGAGGAGCAGGAGGCACGCGGCCATGGCGGTGAACGCGGCTCGACGACTAGAGCCGGCCATAGAGGGAACTGGTGGAAGGAATATTAGGTTGTGGCAAGACGACTCTTATGACGGCCAATTCAAGCCCTCTCGCGTCGGTTCACGGGTTTAGATGGAAGGAAATGGGTCAATTATGCTGAAAAACGACGAAGGAGGGGAATGACCTAGTTTTTTCTAGCTGAAGAACGTGCTGCACGACATTGCAGGACCTAGTAGGATCAATTTCAGTGAGACGGGGATCTCAACGCTAATCCTATTCCTGCCAAAAGTCAGCGCGGCTGCTTGGGACCGCGGGTCGAATAAAAGGTCATATGACTGCTACCTACCGCCACTGCTGTGCGACGATAGTCGATCGGCTGGCTAGAAAATATGGAGCAAGAAATGCTGAAAGCAATGCAGTTTGGTGGACGAACGAGACAGGAAGGTTGTTGTGTTCGTTGCGGCGGTGGTTCAAATCAAACACCAGCTGCTGTCTCTCTCTCTTCCTCCCCCTCCAACCACACCTGGCTGGAAAAACAACATCAGCGAGTGCCAGAATTCAACCCCCACTGGCCCAGCTTGCTGCACCACACACAGCACAGCATAACACAAGACAACCTCCATCCCTAATTCTGCCGGGCAGCCGACGAGGCGAAAGAGAAACGCGCTTCCAGTTCAGCGTTTCGGCGAGGAGGCAGGCGAAGAACGTGCCAGTCAGCGCGCCGAGTTTCCCACCCACGCAAGTTCCACTCTCCTCCTCCCCAAGCCGAACGTGCTGGTTGGGCCGTGAGGCGGAAGAAAAGTCTGCTGCCCGAGCTGGTTGTCGGTTTGTGGGTTCCCGGCGGCGCACGACGACTCGTCTGCACGACAGAGTTCCTCCGAACCAAAGCCAAACCCAGGACGTCAGGCAAGGCAGGTACGACCTTGGCATGATTTGCCAGGGCTTGGGCATTGGCGAGGATCACCGAAATCAAACAAACGAGTTCGCGAACACAGTCGGTATTCTCGCTACAAGATACCCAGTGTGCATCTAGAGAATACGTGAGATTGTGAGATTTCTAAAGTGAAAAGCAAACAAATGGATGTGTGAGTTATGTACAATCACATTCGACATAACGAGATTCGAAGTTCTCTAGGGTTCGTTTGAACATCAACTTTGGAGTTTCAAATCCTCTTGGGACTTGCCCCACGCAAACCCCACAAACTAGCGTCTGCTGCACCCTCTGCTCTCACTCCCAACTTTACGCTGAATGCCGACATCTCTCCGCGGAGTGTCCTGTTTCTTGGTGCTTTTCCTCCTCTCCGCAATTTTTGTCGCACGATAAGTTAGGCCTCTCAAATTCCTGACTCTAATTTGTTGACATTCCGAGCCGCGTTTAGGAAGAAAATTAGAGTTGTAAACTCTTAGTTTGACTCTTTCGTTTCTTGTCACGCCAGGACACGCCCCTAAGTAAGCTCCGTTATGAAAAGCAATGTAGCTTGTTTCTATTCCGCATAACGCAGAAAATAGTTTTGTCCCTTCCGTTCAGGATGCTAAGAACGATCCCGCGAGAAACTCCATTTCACGAGTGGTAGATTCTTGTCATGTCGTAACCCTAGTTTCGCGAGCATGACCTGTGCGACTGGGCGAAGGGTCCTCGTAGTTCGCTCAGCTCTGCGAGTGATGTTCGTTCACGAGCAGTCGCAGGAAGACGATAAACCGAAACCGTGCTCCCAAGTGGCCTTGCGACAATGCGCGTCGCCGCAAAGCCGCGACGGACCATTCGACGAGCCTGCGACAGTCGCATGCGACAGTACCGATCGCACTGTACCAAGCGACCTAGAACAGACTGTCGCACGCGAAGAGCCTGTCGCGTCGGAACGTTGTCATTCGGAAAAAGGCGTCCCATTGGCGGTAGAGGCGCAAGTCGCGGACGCGCAGCTCGCACGAGTTCCGGAGCCGGTAGCGCCCCAGTCATCGCCGCCCAACTCCCCTCGTTCCCCGCCTGCGGAGGCCCCGCCCGCCGCAGACCGCGCAGTGCGATCGCGGAAAGATCTTGAGAATGGAGAGCGAGAAGTAGGGTCGATTTCCGGTGACTCGTGCCGTCCGCAATCCGGTTCCCCCAGGCCGTCCCGTCAGCCCGACGCGGACGCCAGTCCGACGCTGGGGGCGGGGCAGCTTCCGCAATCGCTGCAGGTGGAGTCGCAGCAGCTCCCCCTGTCGCACCCGCACGCGCAGCCGAAGCAGCCGCACGAACAGCAGGATGGGGAGCAAGGGGGGATTACGGAGGCGATATCAGAACCGATCGGCGTGGATATGTCGGGTTTCTCCCACTGGGAGTCCCTCTCCGCGCAAAGCGCAAGCCTTGTTGCTTCCTCGCCCTTCGCGGGGTCTGCGGGAAATGTGGGGAGAATTGGGAGCCTCGCGCCCCTTGGTGCGCCCCCCCTGTCCGCGCCCGCTGATGCGCTCCCCCAGACAAGAAAGAGGCCTGGGCGACCGCGGAAGTCGATCGCCCCCGCGGCTGGTAAGGGGGAAGGCGGCCGCGCCGAAGGGGGAAGCGCGGGGGTTGTGGAGAGGCGGATCACCCGCGGGATCGCCGCGCGGATGAGTCTGCAGAAGCAAATTGAGGGCGCGGGGGCGGAGGTAAGGGGCGCGGAGCCAGAGGGCAGGGAGGCGCGGGGGAACGGCGCGGAGGGGGAGGAGGAAGGCGCGGGTGAGGGGAAGAAGTCGAGGGGAAGGAAGAGAGGGGTAGCGGAAGCGGATGGGATTAGGAGATCCAAAAGGTTGAGTAGGAAGAGGGGATGGGACAGTGAGGAGGAGGATGAGGAGGAAGGAGAGGAAGAAGAGGAGGGGGGGGAAGAGGAAGAGGAAGAGGAAGGGAGGAGGGGGAAGAGGGAGGAGAGGAAGAGGAAGGGGAGGAGGAGGGGGAGGAGGGGGAAGCGAAAGAAGGAGATGAGAACGGAGAGCAAGAGGAAGAAGACGGGGAGGAAGTGGAGGGGTGGGATGAGGAGGGAGGGGAAGGAGCAGAGGAAGAGGGAGAGGAAGCAGGTGAGGAGCAGGAGCAAGAGCAGGATGAGGAGGGGGGAGAGCAGGAGGAGCAGGAGCAGGGGGGTGAGGAGGAGGTGGGTGGGTTGGAGGAGAGTGGAAAGGAGAGAGGAAAGGAGGGAGGAGAGGACGGAGGAGAGGAGCGAGGCGACCAAGATGAGGGGGAAGCACAGGAGGAGGACCAGGAGCAGGGGGAGGAAAGTGAGGACTTGGGAGGTATGGAAAGGGGGGGTGTGGGCGCCGTTGGTGCTGCAGCAGAGGAGGGTGGAGGTACAGCTGGGGCAGGTGCAACTGGGGCTGTTACAGTTGGGACAGGTAAAACTGGGGAAGGCGGGGCAGTCATGGGAGAGAATTCTGAGGGTGCAGCTGGCGAGCGTGAGGGGGGGCAGAAGTCAGGGGTTCCGGAGGGAAGAGCGGCAGAAGAGGAGGAGGTACCCGTGGCAGTGGTGGGAGAGGGAAGTGAGGGGCTAGGGGCAAAGGGTGGAGATGTGGGGTCAAGGGACGAGGTATTGGGTTTGGGAAGAACGGTGGGGGTGCATGAGGCAGGCGTGGAAGCAGGTGAGGAGGGGGCAGGGGAGGGCGAGGGTGGGGGAACAGGTGGGGATGGTGAGATGCAGGTGGCAGTGAGGGAAGAGGATAATGAGGCAGGAGGGGCGACTAAGGCAGGAGGTGAGGAGTGTGCGGCAGGTGGTGAAGGGGGAGCGGATGTGGCAGGGGCGGTGGGGGGTAATGAGGCAGGAGAGGGGGATAAAACAGGAGGTGGGGATTGTTTGGCAGGTGGGGATGGAAGAGGTGATGTGGTGGGCGTGCCTGGGGGGGACGGCCAGCAGAACGAAGTCAGCATGGAAGGGAAGGAAGGAGTTGCTGCTACAAAGGGGGGTGACAGTAACGAGGGGGCTAGCATGGCGCTCGTTACTGTGGAGAGCACACTTCGGGGGTTGGACGTCATACAGCAGGCTAGGGTAACGGAGCGTGCAACGGAAACAGAGTGTGCTAAGGATAGTGCAATAGAGCATGCTATAACGAGTACAATATGTGCGGTAGAGCCAGCAGAGGGGGGAGGAGAGGCAAGGCAGGGAGCAGGGGAGTGTGAAGAACCCTTGCTGACAGGGGACGCTTCGGAGGAGGAGGGGGAGGAGGAGGCAGATGAAGCTGAGAAATGGACGGTGTGGGGATTCGATCTCCGGTTCGATCTCAAATCTAGGGAGCAGGAGGAGGAGTATTATTATCAGTTCATGGATAAAATGAGAGCCACAGGAGGGGTTGGTGGGTATAATCTGCTCTTTCCTGGTTCTGCTGCTGGCCGCACCACCAACCTCTGGAAAAAAACGGTTTCTCAGGGCCAATCCGCACTTGGTTCTGGGCTGGGATTATGTGCGACAGCAGGATTTGAACCCCAGGCTTCTGGAAGCAGGGATGGGAGTGCCAGGTGCTGAGGTAACACCAGTGAAGGCACTGATTCCCTGGGCCACTGACAGTGCTGGGGTGGTGGGAAGCGAAGGAGGGAACCAGGGCGGAAGCGGAGTGGGGGGTGCAGGACTGGTTGTCACTCCGGTTGCTGCTTTGGGAGGGGCACAGGCGGCTCATTCTCACATGGGGGTGGGCGGTGCAGCAGCCATGCACACGCCCATGCACCCGGAAGCAACCAGGCAGTTGGAGCATATGGGGGGTCTGCGCTCTGCCTCACCAAGCCTGGCAGGGACGTTCGGAACGCCAGGCGCGGTTGGCGGTTCGGGAGCGGTTGGAGGTTCAGGAGGGTATGGGGCGACAGGAACGGGTGGAATGACCGTGGCATATGGGCCGTCAGGTAAGAAGAAGCAGTACATGTGTCGCAAGTGTGGCGCTCCCAAGAGGGGCCATGTCTGCACTGCTGACCCTGCTGCCGTTGCTGCCTACGCTGCTGCTTCTGCTGCCGAAGCTGCTTCTGCTGCTGCTGCCGCTGCTGCCGGTTTTATTGGTGTTTCTGTTGGTGCTGGTCCTGGTGCTTTTGGTGGCGTTGGTGGTGGTGCGGCATTGCCATTTCCAGATAGGGTTGGGGCGGAGGGGGTTGCAAGGGAGGGTCGGGAGAGGGAATCAGCAGAAAAGGCAGACGCAGCAGCGCGAGAGGCAGCAGTGGCAGCAGCAGTAGCAGCCAGGGAGGCAGCTAGGAAGGAAGCAGAGGCACGGGAGGTGGTGAGGAGAGAAGCAGCAGCGCGGGAGGCAGAGGCGAGGGAACAGATGATGAGAGAGGAGAAGGCGCGGAGGGAGATTGCTGCGAGGGACAGAGAGATGAGGGCGGCTGCACGGGCAGAAGCAGAGAGACGGCAAGAGAGGGAAAGTGGCAGAGAGGAAACGGGAGAGAGAAGAGGCAGTGAGACGGGAAAGGGAAGAGTTTGTGCGGAGAAAGCAGAGAGAAGAGGCTGACGCAAAGGCAAAGGCAGAAGTGAAGGCGAGAGGGGAGGGAGAAGGTGTGGGGAGGGCGGAGAGGGAAGGGAAAACGAAGGCTGCGATTATAATGAGGAGGCGGGCCGAGGTGGAGGCTAATGCAAAGGCTGCTGCTGAAGCAGAGGCGAAGGGGAAGGGTGAGGCGGAGGAGAGGAGAAGGAAGGCGGCCAGAAAGGCTGAAGAGGAGGAGAGAAGAAGAGAGGCCGAAAGGAAGGCCGCAGCCGAGCGAGAAGCGAAGGAAAAGGCAGAGGCGGAGAGAGTAGCAAAGGAAAAGGCTGATGCAGAGAGAGCAGCAAAGGAAAAGGTTGAAGCGGAGAGGGTTAAGGCAGAGAGAGAGGCTAAGGAGAAGGGAGAGGCAGAGAGAGTCAGAGTGGAAGTCGAGCGAAGGTCGAAACGAGTGAGGGAGGCAAAGGAAAAGGCAGAGGCTGACGCAAAGACACAGGCTGATGAAGTGAAGGGTGGAATAGAGAGAGAATCCAAAGCCAGGGCAAATTCTGAAGGGGGTGAGGAAGGGGAGGCAACAACCTTGGAGTTACCTCACCAGGCGCCTCAAGAAACAAGGGGGGGGACGCGATCTGAGTCGCCTCACGATGCGAATCAGCAAAAGAGAGGGGAGGCGGGTTCTGAGTCACGTCAAAAGAGCGAGAGGGTTGTGAAAGTGCGGTTTGGCAGCCGTGTGGTTGCCCGGGTGGGGAGTGTGAGTGAGGTGGGGGGTGCACTGGAGGGCAGGGGGGATGGTGGAGCGGAAACGAGTAGAGAAAGGGAAAGGAGGAGAGGCAAGAGGAAGGCGGAGGGTGGGGGTGTTGGAGTGGAGAGGGCGGAGAACGGAGAGGGGAGGGTTAGGAGAGAGAATGGTACAGTGGAAAGGAGTGCAGAGGAGAGGGAGAGTGAAGAGAATGCAAAGGCAGAGAGGAGGGGCAATGTGAATGCAGGTGTGGATGATGGTTGCAGGGAGGGGAGCAGGAAGAGGGTTAAGAGAATAAAGATATTGCCGTTAGCTGGGATAGAGATGGGTGGAAGTAGGGGCAAGGCGGTAGAGAGGGGGAAGGAGGTGGAGAAGGGGCAGGAGGGGGAAAGAGGGAAGAATAAGGGGGAAAGGAGTGGAGGGAGAAGGGGAGAGGACAGGGGGAGCAGAGGAAGGAAGAAGAGGGTGAAATGGATTGGAGAGCAAAGGGATGGGGGGGAAGAGAGGGGAAGGAGACGAATCAGAGGGGCAAGAGAGTGATGGGGAAGAGAATGGAGGGGAAGGGAATGGTGGGGACGATGGTGGGGGGGATGATGGTGGGGGGAACGGTGGGGGGGGGGACGGTGGTGGGGGGAACGGTGGTGGGGGGAGTGGCAGTGGGGGGAATGGTGGTGGGGGAACGGTGGTGGGGAAAACGGTGGGGAGGGGAACGATGGTGGGGGAAACAGTGGTGGGGGAAACAGTGGTGGGGGGAACGACGGTGGGGGGAGCAGTGGTGGGGGTAATGGGGGTAATGGGGGGGATGACAGCGGTGTCAACGATGGGAGAGAGGATAAGGAGAAAGACGGAGATGGGGAAGGGAGGGAAGGCGAAGGGGAAGAGGAAGCGGAGGAAGGAGGTGGGGAGCAAGGAGATAAGGATGATGCTGAAGGGGAGGAGAAGGGCAGGGAGGAGAGAGGTAATGGAGAAGAGGAGGGGAAAGAGGAGGACAGAGGGGCGCAGGAAGGAAAGGAGGGAGGGAAGGTTGAAGGAGGGATAGAGGATGGAGGGAAGGAGGTAGTAGGCAAGGACGAAGGGGAGGGGGAAGGAGAGGCGCAAGGGAAGGAGGAAGGGAAGGAGGAAAGGAAGGAGGAGGAAAGCGGGAAGGAGGAAGGAGATGATGAAGGGGAGGAGAAAGGAGGGAACAAAGAAGGAAAGCAGGAACAGAAGGACGAGGATCGAGATGAAAAAGGAGGGAAAGTGGGAGAAGAAGCGGAGGGAGCGAGTGAAATGGAAGTAGAGGAAGAGCAGAGGAGGACTCTGGATTCAGGGCAGGGTTGCAGCAGGGCAGCAGCGGATTCTGGAGTCATGGGAAGGGATGAGGGCGGAAAGAGTGAGATGAAAGTATCAGAACAGCAGGGGAGGACGAGACAGGGATGCAGCAGGGAAGTTGCGACCGCTGTGGATGCACATGCGGGACCTGTGGGGGTGGAGGAGGGCGGAGGGAGGGGGATGAAGGTAGAGGAACAGCAGGGGAGAGATAGCAGGGATAATGTGGATTTAAAAGGTGCAATTGTAAGGGGGGATGAGGGAGGAGGAAGTGGGGAGAGAGAGGGGGGCAGTGGGGGAGAGTGGGGGAAAGAGTGGGGAGAAGGGGGAGGGAAGTGGGGAGAGGGATAGTGCTGAGCAGGGCGGGAACGGGAGGGAGAACGAGAGGAAAAGGGAGGGGACGCAGAATGAGGGGAAAGGAGATGAGGGGACCGGAAATGAGGGGAGGGAAAATAAGGGGAGTGGGAGTGAGGTGAAAGAGGATGAGGGGGGAGGGCATGAGGGAAAAGAGGATAAGGGGAATTGGATGGGTGGAGAGTTATGTGAGGGGAAGGGGAATGAGGGGAAGGGGAACGAGGGGAAGGTGAAGGGGGGGGGTCATGCTGATAAAGGGGATGAGGAAAAGAGGATTGAAGGGAAGGAGATTGATTGGAAGTGGCAAGAGGAGAAGGAGGAGGGGAAAGTGAATGGGTTGGAAGGGATTGATGGAGAAACAAATGGGTTGAAAGAGAGTTCAGAGCATAAGAACGAGGATAGAGGAAAAAGGGGTGGTGCAAAGGAGATTGTGGGGAAAAGGAGTGGGGAGGAAGGGAAATTAGAGGAAGGGAAGGGGGGGGGAAAAGGTGGAGGAAGGGAAATTGGAGGTATGGAAATTGGAGGAAGGGAAAGTGGAGGAAGGGAAAGTGGAGGAAGGGGAGATAGAGGAAGAAAAGGTTGAAGAAGGGAGGGAAGTGGAAGGGAAGGTGGAGGAAACAGAGTTGGAGGAAGGGAAGGTGGAGGAAAAGGTTGAGGAAGGGAAAGTGGAGGAGGAAAAGATTGAGGAAGGGGAGAAGGAGGAAGGGAAGGTGGAGGAGGAAAAAGTGGTGGAGGAAGGGACAGTTGAAACAACAGGGGAGACGACAGAGGAGGATGGGGTAGAATGGGTAGTGGGGGAAGGGGAGGAGGATGAGGTGAGGATGTGTGTGGAGGGGGAGGAGGATGAGGGGGAGGAGGATGAGGTGAGGGTGTGTGGAGAGGAGGAAGAGGATGAGGTGAAGGAGTGTGTGGAGGGCGAGGAGAAGGATTCAGAGGGGTGTGTGGAGGTGGAGGAGGAGGCAGAGGGGTGTGTGGAGGTGCAGGGGGATGCAGAGCGGTACGTGGAGGTGGAGGTGATGGTGGATGCCACACGGCACACAGCAGGGCCTGTCCCCACAGATATCCCCATTGCTGCTGCCGCTGCTCCTACTGCTGCTACCAGTGCTGCTGCCGCCGCTGCTGGTGCTGCTGCTACTATCACTGCTCCTGCTGCTGCTGGTGCTGCTGCTGCTGGTGCATGTGAGAAAGGGATTAGCAAGGCAAGCCGCCCTGCCAAAGCCCCCTCCCTCGCCCCACCACAGGCTCACGCTGCTTCAGGGGCACCAGTTACCCACGGACCACCTGACTCAACCAAGCAGCACCGCGCATTACCCACTGCTGCACCTCCCACATGTGAACCCTCAGGTGCTTCAGCACCCAGAGCTCCTGTCCCAGGTGAAACAACAGATGCACCCTCTGTTGCCTCAGGTGCCCCCCATCCCGCACCAGCAGCAGGTGCCCCTTCAGGTGTCTCAGGTGGTGAACGCCCCCACACTACCACCACCACGCTCCCCTCCCGCCCCTACCCCGGCCCGACCAATGTGGAGCTGACAGCTGTCCCAAAGAACGTAAAAGCCCTGCTGGAGTCCGGCCTGCTGGACGGCATCCCATTGGTCTACGACGACGGGCGTAACCGCCTGCGCGGCGTGGTAACCAGCGGCGGCGTGGCCTGCGGGTGCCGCAGCTGCAAGGGCCGGCAGGTAGTCGCGTGCGCGGTCTTTGAGATGCATGCGGGGAGCGCGGCGAAAAAGGCGGTGAATTACACGTTCCTGGATGTGCCGTGCGCTGCAAATGCGAGGGAGGGCGAGTGCATGTCGGCTGCGGAAGCGGCTAAGCTGAGAGGGCCATGCCTGAAGGATATTATTCTCATTGCGGGGTATGCGGGCGCGCCTGCTGCTGCTTCGGCGGCTGTGGAGCGGGAGATGCGGCGGGTGTTTAGGGAAGGGGTGTGGGGAGAAGGGGGGGAGGGGGTGTGGGGAGGAGGGCGGCGGAGGGGGGACTGGAGTGGGGGAGCGGGGTCTGGGAGGGTGGGTCGGATAGAGGCTGGTGGAAAGGTCTCCCTTGCTGCTGCTGCATGGTCACCTGCAGTAATCCCAAGGTCATTGGGGGCAGGAGGAGTAATTTCAAAATCGCCTGGTGGGGGGGGTTTCCTAAGTTGCCTGGGCCGGCTGTGTGGTCGCCGGGCAGTGGCAGCAAGGCGGCAACTGGGGGAGGGGTGGCTGGGGGAGGGGTATCTGGTGGGGGAGCTTTTTCCAGGCTGCCTGGGCCGGCTGTGTGGTCACCTGGCAGTGGCAGCAAGGCTGCAACTGGGGGAGGGGTATCTGGCGGGGTAGGGGTGGCTGGGGGAGGTGGAGCTGGGAGCGGTGTGGGAGACGGGCAGGTGCGCAAGCAGCAGGGCGCGCCGGTCAGGAAGAGGTGTGTGCGGTTGCCGCTTCCGCCTTTCATCCTGGCGTTGCTCTTGTCTTGTTTCCGCTGTGCACCTCTTGCCTGGTTCTGCCTCCTCCCTGCACTTGCGAACACTGAAAGACTCTCACAGTGTGTGTCTGTGTGTGTGTGTGTGTGTGTACACCAGGGAGTCAGGGTCAACACATAAGGCATTGTTCCGGCCAGGGGGCATAGAGGACGGAACAGGGCTCGGCTATTACATGAAGGGGCAGGTGAGCCGGTTACCATGTGAACACGTTACCATGTGGAGATGTTACCACGCAAAAGTGTTACCACGTGAAGAGGTTACCACATTCGATGAAGTCAGCCCAGAATCAGAAGCCTTCACTTTCGCTCTACATACTTGAGTGCCCCCGAATGTTTCTCGTCCGCCCTCCCTTACAAGCTCGTTCCACTCTCTCCTCTCACCATTGCCCACCATTCCTCATGCCATGCTGCGCACCATCCTTCGATGCCACCTTTCTCTTAACTCACTTCATTACCCCTCCCCATGTCCTCTCCCCTTGGTCCCCAGTGTCTGTTGCACGGATTCAAGCAGGGCAGTGGCATTCTCTGCAGCTGCTGCAACCAAGTGGTGAGCTAGTCCCCCTCTCCTCCACCGCTTCCTCCTTGTCCCTTTTCCCACCTCTTCCCTTTTCTCTCCCATTCTCTTTCCCTGTTCATTTTCATTCAGCAACAAGAGGTTTCGTTTCTCTCCCTTTTTCCCGCATCATCCTTGCCCCACCCTGCTGGTGTGTGGAGAGCAGGTCAGCAGCTCGCAGTTCGAGGCACATGCAGGGAAGGGTGCACACCGCAACCCGTGAGTCCTCTCCACACCCTTTACCCACCAATCACGCATATTTCTGTTAAATTTATCGTTTTATTTACCTCCAATTTCGTTAAGGCTCTTCACTCCTTTCCTTCACAACTCCCTTCACCTCCTGGTTTGCCCTTCCCTTCACCCATCCACCAGCTACAATCGCATATTCACCGACGACGGCTACAGCCTGCACGAACTCGCAATCAGGCTCGCAGCCTCCCGGCCCCCCTGCACCCCTGCTGCTGGTACTGCCACCGGTGCTGCAAGTGCTGGCTCTGCCGGGTTCGGCACTGGGAGGAAGGCCGGCCTGAAGCGGGGAGGAGAATCCCGCGACTCCTGTGAGTCGAGCCCGCGAGTGCATCTCAGCACAGACGGGCACGCGGACGGGCATGCGGACGAGTGCACCTACTGTGGCGACGGGGGCACACTGCTTCTCTGCGAGACGTGCCCTGGAGCCTACCACCCCGGCTGCGTGGGCCTACCCTCGATTCCTGATTATGACTGGTTCTGCCCGACTTGTAAGCCGTCTACGGCGTTCTCAAGGCATTTGGCGCCGCTCCCCCCGAGCGTGGGCAAGGGGGAGGGCGCAAGGGGGAAGGGGCGGGGGAGGGGCGCCGGGGGGAAGGGGAAGCGGAAGGGGGAGGCAGCGGGGGGGGAGGCGGCGGTGGGGGAGGCAGGGGAGGAGGAAGGGGGCAGGAAGGGTGCGGAGGGGTTGGGAGAGGTGGATGTAGATGTGGAGCGGTGCAGACGGTTGGTGAAAGAGTTGGAAAGCGCGGGGGGAGGGTGCGTGCTGTGTCATTCCGGGTCGCATGATTTTGTCCCGTCGGGGTTTGGTCCTCGAACGATCATATTCTGTGATCAGTGTGAGAAGGAGTATCATGTGGGGTGTCTGAAGGAGCATGGGGTTCAGGTGCTGGAAAGGTTGCCTGAAGGGAACTGGTTCTGCTGCGCGGCGTGTGAAGAGGTGTTCAATGCGGTGCAGATGGTTCTGGAGCGGGGAAGCATGCATTTGCCGGATCTGCCAGATTGGGAGGAGATGGAGGAGGCTCACCTGCTGGAGCCGCAGCCAATACAGCGTGCTGCTGCTGGTGCTGTTGCTGGTGCTGGCAATGGTGCTGCTGCTTCTTCTTCTGTTGGGGGTGCGGCTGCTGATGATGCTGCTGCTGTGCCAGCAGCAGCAGCATCAGGGCAGCAGCATGGGCAGCAGGGGCAGAATGCCAGCGCCAGTACTGGTGGTGTCTGCACCAGCCCCATTCCCCACTGCTCAACTCCCCCCCTGCCTCCGCCTCTGCGTCCTCCTGCCACGCTTCTCAACACGCCTCAGCAGCACAGCACCTCCTCCCAGCCTCGGGCAGCATCCATTGACCTGACGCCGAACGCGTCGCAGGGCCGGGCGGCGCAGAGCAGGGCGCGGGGCGGCGAGCTGACGTGGCAGGTGCTGAAGGGGCGGCGGGGGCTGGAGGCGAACGGGCTGACGCTGGGCGGCGTGTGTCAGCTGTTTGCCGAGTCGTTCGATCCGATCAAAGATGCCTTCACCGGGAAAGACCTCATTCCCCTCATGGTCCGCAGGTAAGGACATCCTGCCCCTCTCATGATCCAGATAAGTTCCATCCCCCTCATGGTCCGCAGCAAGACCTCATTCCCCTCTCCTCCCTTGCCCCATACCGCTCAGTCCTGTTCCCCTCACTGAACTGATCCCACTCTCACCCTCCCTCACACGTCTCTCCCCGCTCCGCCAACCCTCCCTGCCCCGCTCTCACCCCACCAGTCGCAGCAGCAGGGAGCACGAGTTTCAGGGCATGCTGTGCTGTGTGCTGAAGCAGCGCGACCGCGTGGTGTGTGCAGCGTGCATCCGCATCTTCGGTCGCCAGCTCGCTGAAATGCCCCTCGTCGCCACCGCCTACTCGCACCGCCGCCGGGTAAGACTGAGTAAACGGCCCATAGCCCAATAGACCAATAGACCAATAGACCAATAGACAAATACACGAATAGACCAATAGACCAATAGACCAATAGACCAATAGACCAATAGACCAAGAGCCCAATAGACCAATAGACCAATAGCCCGATAGACCATTAGACCAATACACCAATAGACCAATAGATTAATAGCCCAACAGACCAACAGACCAAACAGACCAAACAGACCAAACAGACCAAACAGACCAAACAGACCAAACAGACCAAACAGACCAAACAGACCAAACAGACCAAACAGACCAAACAGACCAAACAGACCAAACAGACCAAACAGACCAAACAGACCAAACAGACCAAACAGACCAAACAGACCAAACAGACCAAACAGACCAAACAGACCAAACAGACCTACCAAACAGTCCAAACAGTCCAAACAGTCCAAACAGACCAAACAGACCAAACAGACCAAACAGACCAAACAGACCAAACAGACCAAACAGACCAAACAGACCAAACAGACCAAACAGACCAAACAGACCAAACAGACCAAACAGACCAAACAGACCAAACAGACCAAACAGACCAAACAGACCAAACAGACCAAACAGACCAAACAGACCAAACAGACCAAACAGACCAAACAGACCAAACAGACCAAACAGACCAAACAGACCAAACAGACCAAACAGACCAAACAGACCAAACCAACCAAACAGACCAAACAGACCAAGCAGACCAAACAGACCAGACCTACCAAACAGTCCAAACAGACCAAACAGACCTACCAAACAGTCCAAACAGACCAAACAGTCCAAACAGACCAAACAGACCAAACAGACCAAACAGACCAAACAGACCAAACAGACCAAACAGACCAAACAGACCAAACAGACCAAACAGACCAAACAGACCAAACAGACCAAACAGACCAAACAGACCAAACAGACCAAACAGACCAAACAGACCAAACAGACCAAACAGACCAAACAGACCAAACAGACCAAACAGACCAAACAGACCAAACAGACCAAACAGACCAAACAGACCAAACAGACCAAACAGACCAAACAGACCAAACAGACCAAACAGACCAAACCAACCAAACAGACCAAACATACCAAGCAGACCAAACAGACCAGACCTACCAAACAGTCCAAACAGACCAAACAGACCTACCAAACAGTCCAAACAGACCAAACAGTCCAAACAGACCAAACAGACCAAACAGACCAAACAGACCAAACAGACCAAACAGACCAAACAGACCAAACAGACCAAACAGACCAAACAGACCAAACAGACCAAACAGACCAAACAGACCAAACAGACCAAACAGACCAAACAGACCAAACAGACCAAACAGACCAAACAGACCAAACAGACCAAACAGACCAAACAGACCAAACAGACCAAACAGACCAAACAGACCAAACAGACCAAACAGACCAAACAGACCAAACAGACCAAACAGACCAAACAGACCAAACAGACCAAACAGACCAAACAGACCAAACAGACCAAACAGACCAAACAGACCAAACAGACCAAACAGACCAAACAGACCAAACAGACCAAACAGACCAAACAGACCAAACAGACCAAACAGACCAAACAGACCAAACAGACCAAACAGACCAAACAGACCAAACAGGCCAAACCGACCAAACCGACCAAACAGACCAAACAGACCAAACAGACCAAACAGACCAAACAGACCTACCAAGCAGTCCAAACAGACCAAACAGACCAAACAGTCCAATAGCCCAATCGACCAATAGACCAATGGCCCAAAAGACCAATGGCCCAATAGTCCCAATAGCAATAGCCCAATAGCCTACATTCTCCAAACCCAATAGCCCACATTCTCCAAACCCAATAGCCCAATTGCCGGGTCCCTTTATCCTCCCCCCCTTCTATCTTCTCATTTCCTTTCTCACCCCACTCCTTACTCCTCCCGCCCTTCCTCCCCTGTCTTTTCCCCGCCCCTCCCACCCACCAAAGCATGTGCTAAGTGCTGCGGAGCGCACTGAACGCCCTCTTACCCATCCGTGCCAGCTGGTTAACACCACCCGTCAAACGGTCCTTTGTATTGATGCGGGTGTCGGTACAGGCAGATTGAGGAATGGGAGTCACGGTCACCACCTCTCTCCTCTCTTCTCCTTCCTCACCCCACTTCCCACTCCTCTCCGCACGCCCTCCCACCCACCAGGGTCGGTGCAAGGTGGTGCGGAACGCACTCGTCGCCCTTTTTTCCCTCCTCGGTGTTATCAAGTACTGCCTGCCAGCAGCATCAGGCACAAACAAGATTTCCACCTACCCCCTCCCTCCCCTGCCTCTCCCTTTCCCGGCCCACCAGGGTCTGTGCAAGGTGCCTCTCAACGCACTGGATGTGCTCTTCTCCCTTCTCGCTCTCCCTCCATCCGCGCTCCCTTTCTTCTCCTCACCCCACTATTCTCTCCGATTCCCTTCCCACCAGGGTCTGTGCAAGGTGCCTCTCAACGCACTGGACGTGCTCTTTTCCCTGCTCGGAGTGAGCAAGTTCTGCCTGCCAGCAGCATCAGGAGCAAGTGAGATTTCCACCTTCCTCCCCTGCCTCCCGTTCGCCACCCACCAGGGTCTGTGCAAGGTGCTATTAAACGCACTGGACGTGCTCTTCTCTCTCCTGGGAGTGAGCAAGTTCTGCCTGCCAGCAGCACCGGGAGCAGAGGGCACGTGGATCAAGGGATTCGGCTTCTCAGTTATGAGTACAGAGGAGGTCACTCAGGTGCATCGGGACTTCCCGCTCCTCGTCTTCCCCGGGTCTGTCAGCGTGGTTCGGCGCGTCCCGAGCCTGCCCCGCGCCTACCGCAAGGCTGCCGAGCTTCAGGTGTTTGGTGCGGTTGGTGTGGCACCGCTGCCACCGTTTGAAACCCCCCCGTTATTGTCGCCCTCGGTACAGGACAAGTCACGCAACACAGTACAAGAGGTGTCGCAGGGAGGGAAAGAGGGGCTTGGGGGTGACCGAGGTGAGGAGGCAGCAGGGTTTACTCGGGGGCAGGGAGAAAATGGAGTGGATACAACTGCTTTGGTATCAGAGACGGAAGTTACTGCTGCTGATACAGCTCTGCCTGCTGTGGTGACGGCTGTAGCGGCTACAGCTGCAGGGCAATCGGAGCCTGCTACAGCCGGTGTGGTGGTGATGTCTAAGGCTGGGGAAGCAGAGGGGCTGACAGCAGGGGTTGGTGCGAAGGGTGTGGTGGTGACTGCTGATGCAGGGGATGCGGAGGTGGTGATAGAAGCAGATGGTCGGACGGAGAGGGAGGGTGAAAGAGCAACACAGCGAGGTGAGGGTGTGGGAGAGGAGAGGAGGGGGGGGAGGAGAGAAGTGGAGGGAATTGGAGAGCGGAGAGGTGATGAGGGAGGAGAGTTGGAAGAGTGTGAGGTTGAGGTGGTGGAGGATGGAGAGGAAGGAGAGGGAGGGAAGGCAAGGGAGAGGAGTGAGGTAGAGAAAGAAGAGGTAGGGAAGGCAAAGGAGGTGGAAGACCTCAGCAAGCCTTTAGAAGATCAAGACGAGGGACGGCAGGTGTGTGTTGCTTGTGTGCCTTGGGAGGAAGTGACCGAAGCAGAGGAGAACGAGGAGGACGAGGAGGAAGAAGAGGAAGATGAGGAGGAGGAAGGGGAGGAGGAGGAGGAAGAGGATGCAGAGGAGAAGGGTGATGCGGAAGGGGAGGAGGAGGTGTTGATAGGGAAGAATCAGAGGCGTGGTGGTAGTGGGGGTGGGAGGCGTGAGAGGGAGCGGAATGGGATGGTGGGGGCCCAGCAGGTGCCTCCGCTGTTCGTGGTGGCGGTGGAAGAGAAGAGCTATGACCCATCCGTGTGGGATGTTGGGAGGAGTGAGGAGGAACCGAGAGTTAGTGGTGAGGAGAAGGGAACGAGAGTGGGTGATGAGGGGGAGGAAATGAGGGTGAGTGATGAGAAGGGAATTAGGGAAAGTGACAAGGAGGAGGAAAAGAGGGTGAGTGGTGAGGAGGGAGGTAGGGGGAGTGATGGGGAGGAGCAGAAGGGGATATGTGATCTGGAAGGGCAAGAGGAAGAGAGGAGGAGAAAGAAGAGACGCGTGTCATTTGCAAGTGACTCGCTGGTACCTGATGCGAGCGGTGCTGACGTGGATGCTGCTGATGTGGACGGTTCTGAGATGGCAGGTGCTGACGTGGCAGGCGCTGACGCGGGAGGGGCTGGCATGGATGGTGCGGATAAGGGAGGGCAGAAAGAAGCAGTGGCCCTAGATCCGTCCACTTCTCCATCCACCTCTCCTGCTACCTCCCCTACGACCTCTGCTGCACGCACGCGCCCTCACCACCCTACACCCAGCCCCACTCACTCCCACCACTCACCACCCCATTCGCCACATACCCATTCAACCACCCACCCTTCACTCACTACAAGCGCTTCAAGCATCCCAGTCCCTGCAGTCACTGCAAGCACTCCTCTCATTGAAACACCTCTCATTGAAACACCTCCCATGGAAACACCTCCCATTGAAACGCCTCCCATTGAAACACCTCTCATTGAAACGCCTATCAGTGACATTCCTCTTATAGAAGTGCTACAGCCGCGGGCCCGGGAGTATGGCGATTACCGTGCCTCGCAGGGCTGGGATCGACACGTGCTCCCCATCTGCCTCGCCCTGCCTGCCGCTCCCCCTGCTGCCCCTGCCCCTGCTGCTGCTTCCCCTCTCGCTGCCAGTGCTGCCACCGCTGCTGCTGCTAGTGTTGGTGCGGCTTGTGATGATGGTAGGGTGAGCATTCAGTATGTGAGGAAGCGCAAGGGAATGGAGAGTGCTGGTGTTGGTGCTGCTGCTAATGCTACTGCTGCTGCTGCTCCGGGTTCTGCTGCTGCTGCTGCTGCCGCTGCTTCTAATGCTACTGCTGTTTCTTCTTCTTCTGCTGCTACTGCTGCTGCTGCCGCTGCTGCTGCTGGTGCGGCTGCTGCTGGTACTGCTGGTTCTGTCGCAGTTGCTTATGTTGCTGCTGCTGCTGTTGCTGCTGCTGCTGCTCCTGCTGCTACTGCTGCTACTGCTGCTGTTGCTACAGCTAATGCTGGTGCTGTGGCAACCACGAACGAGCAGGCAGGGGAGGAAAGAGAAGCGAAACGAGCGAGGTGGGGAGATATTTCTGAAGGGCTGACTGGAGGCCAGCAGCAAGAAGTGCAGGGGGGGCAGGAGAAGCAGAAGCAGCAGGGGGACAAGGAAGAAAACGGGGAGCAGCTGGGGGCGAAGGGGGGGCAGTTGGAGGAGGAGGAGCAATTGGAGGAGAAGGGGGAGAAATCTGGCGGAAAGGAGGAGCAATCAGAGAAGGACGAGAAATTGGGGGGAATGAGGGAGCATTTGGAGCAGAAGGGGGAACAAGACGGAGAGGATTTGGGGAAGCGTCATGTCGATCAGTTAAAGCATGTTGACCCAGTCATTCCCGTTATGGCAGGCAAGGAGTCTGTGCTTTCTATGAAGAGAAAGAGACAAGAGGGGGCGAGGCACAAAAGAGTCGGGGGCTGGGGTGCCGTGCTTGGGTTTGGGTGGTTCGGGCGGGAGGAGGGAGGGAAGGAGAAACACTTAGAAGGTGGTTTCCTGGAGAATAAGAGACGATTGGTTGTGAAACTCTCGAAAGTGGGAGTGGGAACAGAGCAGCAAGACAGGGATGAAGCTGATGAGATTCTGAGAGCAGTTGAGGATTATGATGGGGTGAGCGCGAGGCCGGGGGGTTGCGAGGAGAGGGAGAAAAAGGAGGCTTGGGAGGAGAGCGAGGAGAGTGAGGAGCTTGGGGGGAGTAGAGCAAAGAGGATGCGGGTTGGGAAGAGGAGTGGGGTGAGGAGCAGGCGAGAGAGGGGGAGTGGGGCAAGGGGGAGGGGGAGCGGGGCAAGGGGGAGGGAGATCGGGGCAAGGGGGAGGGGGAGTGGGGCAAGGGGGAGGGGGAGCGGGGCAAGGGGGAGGGGGAGCGGGGCAAGGGGGAGGGGGAGCGGGGCAAGAGGGAGGGGGAGCGGGGCAAGAGGGAGGGGGAGGGGGCGAGGGAGGGTGGATGAGGAGGAGGATGAGGGTGCGGGGGTTGAGCAGGAGGGGGAGGAGCAGGAGGAGGAGGAGGAGGAGGAGGAAGAAAAAGAGGACGAGGTGGAAGAAGAGGAGGAGGAAAAAGAGGAGGAGGTGGAAGATGGGGATGGGAATGAGGAAGAGGAGAAAGAGATTGAGGAGCTTTTCGAGATTGATGAGGAGGATAGAGGATGGGGCATGTTTGGTGGAGGAAGGCGAGGGAAGAGAGCAGCGCGGGCGAGACGAGAAGTTGGCAGGCGAGATGATGTGCAGGGGAGGAGGAGGATGACAGGTGAGGAGGAGGAGGAGGGACGTGCAGAGGAGGAGGGACGTGGAGAGGAGGACGGGAGTGGTGATGAGGAGGGGAGTGGAGAGGAGAGGAGTGGTAAGGAGGGGAGTGAAGAGGAGGGGAGTGAAGAGGAGGAGGGGAGTGAAGAGGAGGAGGGGAGTGAAGAGGAGGAGGGGTTTGTTGGGAAAGAGGAAGTGAGTAGTGTGAGTGGGGAGGGGAAGCGAGGGGAGAAGAAGCAGACTGGATTGGACCTTTTAATGAGGCGAGCAAGTGAAAAGAATGAGAAGGATGGAGAGAAATGGGTGGAGGAGGGTGGGAAAGGGTTGATATTGGATATTGCAATGGAAGGGGTGATGGATGGTGCAGTGCGGTTGAGAAGCACAGAGGAGGTGACCAACGCTGCTGTGCGGTGTGGGGAGGGGGTGGGCGGGGGTACTCGTCGTGCGAGGAGGGGGAGAGGGCGGCACAAGGAGAGAGAGGTTGGTGGTGACGGGGACTGGAATGGTGGGGACAAGAGAGAGTTTGTGGGGGATGAGGCAAAATGGAGGAACTTAGAGGGGAAGGAATTGAGAGGAGGATTGAAAGAGGGCGATGGGGAAGAGGAGGAAGAGGAGGAGAAAGAGGACGAATTGGAGGAGGACGAGGAGGAAAATGAGGATGATGAAGAAGATGAGGATGATGAAGAAGATGAGGATGAGGATGTGTATGTGCCTGATGATCGAACTGCCGCTGGGTCAGGGAGGGGGAGAGGGAGAGGTAGGGGCAGGGGCAGGGGGATGGGAAGGGGGAGGGGGAGGGGGAAGGGGCGGGGCAGGGGTAGGGGAGGGGGGGAAGGGGTAGCATATCAGAGAGTAGAGAGACAAGAGGAAGTGAATGGAAAGGAGTGGACGGTGGAAAGAAGGTGAATACGAGGGATGAGACAAGCAGCGGCGAAGGGGAAGAGGAGGAGAGTGGGTCTGGGGAAGAGGAAGCAGAGGGGGAAGAGGACTCGTATGCGCCTGAGGGGAGAAGTGCCGTTTGGGTGGGGAGGGGGAGAGGCAGGGGGAGGGGGAGGGGGAGAGGACGGGGCAGAGGCAGGGGCAGGGGCAGGGGCAGAGAAAGGGGAGGGGTGCTGAAAGGTACTGATGGGTTTTATAATGATGGTGAAGGGGAGGAGAGTGGGAGAGAGGGGGTGATGATGGGGAGGAGAGTGGGGAGAGAGGGGGTGATGGGGAGGAGAGTGGGGAGGGTGATGGGGAGGAGAGAGGAGGTGTTGGGGAGGAGAGTGGGGAGAGAGGGGGGTGATGGGGGGGAGAGAGCGGGGAGAGAAGGGGTGATGATGGGAGGAGAGCGGGGAGAGAAGGGGGATGGGGAGGAGAGCGGGGAGAGAAGGGTGATGGGGAGGAGAGCGGGGAGAGAAGGGGTGATGGGGAGGAGAGCGGGGAGACAAGGGGCGATGGTGAGGAGAGTGGGGAGAGAGGGGGTGATAGGGAGGGGGGGAATGGGCCGGGGAGCGAGAGTGAGGGCAGTGAAAGTAATGAGAGTGATGGTGGAGTGGTGGGTAAAGGGGAAGAAGCAGGGGGAGAAGCAGGGGGAGAAGCAGGAGGAGAAGCAGGGAGAGAAGCAGGGAGAGAAGCAGGGAGAGAAGCAGGGAGAGAAGCAGGGGGAGAAGCAGGGGGAGAAGCAGGGGGAGAAGCAGGGGGAGAAGCAGGAGGAGAAGCAGGGGGAGAAGCAGGGGGAGAAGCAGGGGAAGCAGGGGGAGAAGCAGGGGTAGGGAGAGGAGGAGCTATTGTTGGATGGGAGAAAGAAAAGGGGAGAGGCCAGGGGGTAGGGAGTGGTAGGGGGCTAGGGAGAGGGCGAGGCGTGCGAGTGGCTGTAGGGGGTGTGACTGTGGGGAGGGGGTATAGGCAACAGGTGTTGTTTGCCGGGCAGAATGGCAATATGCAGATGGGAACAAAGCCAGATTGACTTGTGTATATGTTTGTGTCTGCTCAAATTGTGGTCGATTGAATAGAATATTTCTGCACCAGATGGTGCTCAAAGTGTATACACTTTGAAGCTAGACATGTATGGTACATTGTGACCAATGGCACCAACGAGTGCTCAATAAATAAACATGTGATTAACATGTCAACACCCCTGCATTTCCATCCTTTTTCTCTAATACTAGGGCCACTGGCCCACTGCCAAGTTGCCAAGACAACACGTGTGCACTGGATGATGAATGTATCAACGCGGCCTTCTTACTGCCTCAGAACAACCGCCACTAACGGTGGCCGGCCACTGAAGATTTCACCCAAGAGACATATCATGGCAAGTGGCTATTAAGTGGCTTCTACGGTAAGTGGCCACTAAGTGGGTGCTATAAATGGCGATCAGAAGCGGCTGTGGCTGTCGTGGGAGTGGCTGTCGGCCATTTGTCGGAGATCCCAAGACGATGCACTCGGCACACGGTAGCGCCGCAGAATCTGCGCATTCGACTGAAGACATTGCATGTGCGTGTGCACAAGCAGAAACGTTGGCATAACAAGAAAGGAAGATAAATTTAGTTGGAGGGAAATGCTAGACAGGCTGGGAGAACCTAGGCCGGAAAGCATGAGGAGTGCATATCTCTCGAACGCACTGCAAGTCGGAATCAAACCGCGCACCTTCCTGGCAGCCGCCATGTCAATGGCTATGATCCGCCCGTCCTCCAGATCAAACCGAACGAACGGTCCAGATGTTTCCAGCACAGCGTCTTTGAGCTGGCGAATGTTATCCACCTCCATCCCATTCACCTTGAGCACCTGGGGGTGCACGAGGGGGGGGAGAGGGGGGGGGGAAGGGGGGGGGAGGGGGCGGTGTTGCAGGAGAGGTGGGTTGAGTCAACTCAAACAGCACTTGAATGTTATCCACCTCCATCCCATTCACCTTCAGCACCTGGGGGTGCGCGAGGGGGAGGAGAGGGAAGGGGGGGTTGCAGGAGAGGACAGGGAATGGGGGGTTTTGAATCGACTCGAAACACATCCGGATATTGTCTACCTCCATCCCATTCACCTTGAGCACCTGGGGGTGCGCGAGGGGGGGAGGATGCACGGAAGAGAGGATGAGGGAACAAGGGGAGAAGAGGACGAGGGGAAAGGCAAGCTTGAGGTGAAGGAAGGACAGCTGAGAGCAGAGGGGTATCAACTAGACTAGAATCAATTCTTCGTTCTGCATCTCACCTGTAAGTCTGCTAGACGCTCGTAGCCACTGTTCACCTCGTCAGGTAGAACCTGGCGTGGCACATGGGGGGGTTGGGAAGTGAACGGTTGAAGTGACGTGTGAGGAGGCTGGAGGCAGTGAGCCTGCATATGTATCCGTAACGCATGAAGTGACGTGTGACGCAACTGGAAAAGTTCCCTGGTGTAGAGCGTAATGTGATAGCATAATGAGCTGGGGGAGTTGTTGAAACTCACCCGCGAGAGGATGATGATCTGCTGCCCGGGTTTCTCGGGCAGGTTACGGAGGGCGAGGTCACAGAGGCGGCGGGGGGAGGAGTGGATCCAGTCAGGTCCGTACTCGTGCAGGTAGGGCTGTGAGAGTGGCATGAAGACCAGCCCTGCGAATATGAAGTAGCTTGGCGCGCTGTCAAACTGCTGCGCTGGGACCAACGGGGGGAGCTGGGGGGAGGAGGGGAAAGCGGAGAGAGGGGAGGGGGGATAAATGGCAGGTAACCAAACGGCAGAGACAGCCCGCGTGTATCAACTGTCAGATCAAGAATCGGAGCATGGCAACCCACCCACCGCATACCGGATTGACGGTCATGTCGAAGTGCATGAGCTGCCCTCCCCGGTACACCGACACCCTCGCCCTCTCCCCACTGCCCTTGAGCGACACCAGATAGTCAAACGGCAGGCGCTCCCTCTTGCGGAACAGCACTGCCATGCAGGAGGGGAGGGAGACGAGGGGACCAGGTTGGAGAGATGGATAGAAGGAGAGGGCGAGGGTGAGGGGAGGTGTGGGCATGTGGGTGTACATGATCAGATGCCATTGCCACACTCACCAGAACCATCGTCAGCAATTGGTACGCAGTCAAAGGCAGTCAGCACATCGTCCTTCTTGATCCACCAGCTGCTCTCACTGAGAGGTTGCACCGCGTTCACCAGCACGCCCGTAGCAGTCGGGGGCAGGCACAGGTGTGCGCGCAGCTGCCAGTTGTCGAGCGGCTGACATGCCACGCCCAGGGAGGAGAAGCCAAACGTCTGTCTATAAGTGATTGAGGCACTAAAAATCCCTCTGTCTTACTCACCTGAACCATCGTCAGCAATAGGAACGCAGTCGAACGCCGTCAGCACATCATCCTTCTTGATCCACCGGCTGCTTTCACTCAGCGGCTGCACTGCGTTCACCAGCACGCCTGTTGCCGTGGGGGGCAGGCGCAGGTGTGCACGCAGCTGCCAGTTGTCGAGCGGCTGACATGCCACGCCCAGGGAGGAGAAGCCGCTGAAGCGGCGGTGGTGCAACGCTGCATCGTGCAGGAAGCGGTGAATGATGGGCGTGGGTACTATGTAGCTGGAGAGGGGGGGAGGGAGGAAGAGGGGGAAGAGACGGTGGTGGTGATGCATGGGTATGATGTATATGTCAGAAGAGGGCATGGGGACTATGCTGTGTGGGAAGGGGGAAAGTGAAGTGGGTGGTGGGAGTTGCACTCACCCGATGTTCTCCGCGCCAGTGAGGTTCTGAAACGCCACACCCACCACACGATACTCCACCCTCATCGCCACCGGCGCCGCCCGCGCTGCCGCCTCCTCCGCTGCCCTCTCTGCCTCTATCTCCGCCCACCCCCCTTCCAACCCCACATCCTCCTCCCCCTCCTCCTCCCGCCTCCCCCCCTCCTCTTCCTCCTTTATTCCTATCATCACCTCCTCCCTTTCATCACCCCAGGCTAACCCCTTGCTGCCGGGTAACTCACTCTCTTCCTCAAAAACTGATCGCCGCTCCATCCACACTGCCCCCACTGCCCGCCCATCCGACTCGCCCGGCAGCTGAGAATCTACCCGACCGTGTGACTGCATTGAACCCCTGCTGCTCCCGCTCCCGCTCCACCCGCTGCTTCTGCTGCTCTCTCTACCACCGCTACTACTACTGCTGCTGGGCCTGGACACACCACCACCACCAGCAGCAGCAGCAGCAGTAGCAGCAGTGCTGGTGCTGCTGTCTGGAGCCATCACAGGCACGTGGGTCATGACGAGGGCGGGGCCGCCGCTGTTGCCGGGGTTGATGGCTGCATCGATCTGGATGGCCAGCAGGTGCGCCCCGCTGTGCGCGTACTTGGTAGGTTCTACTCGCGAGACCACTCCCATGCTGATGCTGATGTTGTCTCCGCCTGGGGGGGTTGAAGAGAACAGTGGGAATCAACATGAAACGGGAGAGGTGAGTTGGTTGCTGCATCGATCTGGATGGCCAGCAGGTGCGCCCCACTGTGCGCGTACTTGGTAGGCTCGACCCCTGAGACTACCCCCATGCTGATGCTGATGTTGTCTCCTCCTGGCAGGGTTGGTGAGAACAATGGGAGTTGGTGGGTGGGAATCAAGGTAAGAAGGGAGACGTGAGGTGAGTAGCAGTGGCGATCTGTTTGGCCAGCAGGTGTGCTCCGCTGTGTGCGTTCTTGGTGGGCTCTACTCGAGAGACCACGCCCATGCTGATGCTGATGTTGTCTCCTCCTGGGGGAGGGGATGGAAAGGTGAGTGGGAGAGAGGTAGGCGTGTGTGTTGAGAGACGTGCGCTAGCTGAATGGACTCTCAACTGAGCCCATCACAACAACACGCTCATGCTAATGCTCATGCCCATGCTCACCACAGCCACGCCAAGGTTGCGGATAGGAGGGCTGCACTAAGCCGCTCACTTTGAGGGTACCCCGCCACAGCAACAGATTCTTGCAGCTGAGGCACATCCCCCAGAAGCAGCAGATTCAGCCCCGCCCAAAACCCCTTCTGAGTCGTTTCAAGAACGCACTTCTTTCACACAGACAGGAAGGCTGCACTAGCATCTCACCTTGAGGGTACCCCGCCGCAGCGACAGACTCCTGCAGCTGAGATGCGGGAGAGTGGGTGCAATGTATGGGACGGTTGTGTGGCTGCCGCTCACCTTGGGGATACCCCACCACCGCGACAGACTCCTGCAGCTGGGGCACATCCCCCAGAGGCAGCGGGTTCAGCCCCGCCCAAAACTCCTCATTGCCCCCCGCTCCCCCCCCTCTCCCCGCCTCCCCCCTTCCCCCCATCCCCATCCCCATGTCTCCCCCCATCCCCTTCCCCCCGCCCATCCGGCTCCCCAGCCCGCCTCCGCCCCCCCTCCCCATCCCCCCGCCCCCGAACTCCCCCATGGCGCCCCCTCCGCCGCGTCCCCCTGCCCCTGCGCCGCCCTTATCCTCCCCGAATCTGTCATGGTGATGGTGGTGGTCGTGGTGATGGTCATGGTGATCATGCTCGTGGTGCCCCCCCCTTCCCCCCATGCCTCCGCCCATGCCTCCCCCCCTCTCTGCGCCTGGCTCCCCCACTGTCAGCAGCGCCAGGTCACACTCATGCGCCACTGCTTGCACCTGGTTGGGGGAGAGGCGGACCAGGGCAGGTGGAGAGGTTCGAAGGGAGGGGGTAGGGGGTCGGCGAAAGGTTTACCTCAGCCCCAACTCAACCTAACCCCCTCATTTCGCCTCACGTCCCATCACCCCAACCCCAACCCAATCTCGTAGTTCCCCTCAGCCCCACCTCTCCCCCCACACCCATTGCACGCACGCACCTGTGCGAGGTACTTCTTGGGCGAGCCGTGCTTCCTCACAGCCCATCCCCTCACTCTCCAACGCCTGCACCATTGTAAGACACTTTCAACCCCCTCGCACCCGCACACGCCACCTCCCTTTCGCACACGCTCCCTTCCACATACACACTCGCACCTGCGCGAGGTACTTCTTGGGCGAGCCATGCTTCCTCACGAGCACGAACGCCTAGTGGTACCTCTCAACCGCAACCCACCGTTCTCAACCTCCCTCACGGACCCTCCCGCAGACACCTCCCGCATGCTCTTACCTGCGCGAGGTACTTCTTGGGCGAGCCGTGCTTCCTCACGAGCACAAACGCCTGGTGGTAGCTCTCAATCTCAATCTAAATTACATTCACGCCCCCTCCCACACGCAAACCTCCCTCACACACACCGCCTGCATGCTCGCACCTGCGCGAGGTACTTCTTGGGCGAGCCGTGCTTCCTCACGAGCACAAACGCCTGGTCGGCCACGATGTGCGCGCTGGTGAGGATCCGACGGCCCATAATCACAAACCCTGCTCGCCCACACCCACGCAGGAAAAGGAAAGGCGGGAGGGGAGCGTGGGAGTGGGGGTGGCGGAAGGAGGGACGGTGAGTCCGCGCGCTGGTGAGGATCCGACGGCCCATAATCACAAACCCTGCTCGCCCACAGACACAGTGAGAGAGGGAGGAGGCGTTGTGTGTGGGATAGCGGGGGGGGGGGGAGGGGGGGGGAGAGGGGGAACAGTGAGTCAGGGACACACCACACGCCAGGGAGGAGCATGTAGTAGGAGGTCAAATCTCACCTGAGCCAGTGACTTCTCGCTGCGGTTTGTTCTGCCAGGGGAGGCGGTAGCTGGGGCTACTCCCCACGGCGAACACCTTCACCACCGAGTCCAACACCGCCTCCTGATCGTCCTCTGGCAAGTGATCATCCTCCGCCCTCCATCCCCGCACCCACCCCATCCCCCCTCCCTTTCCCCCACACCCCCTTTTTGGCCTACTTGCTAGGCGCCTCAAGAATAGAGACGAATCACACGCCTGAGTGGAGCATGGAGGGAAGAAAATCAAATCAAAGCTCACCTGAGCTGGTTTGTTCTGCCAGGGGAGGCGGTAGTTGGGACTACTCCCCACGGCGAACACCTTCACTACCGAGTCCAACACCGCCTCCTGATCGTCCTCTGGCAAGTGATCATCTTCCGCCCTCCATCCCCGCACCCACCCCATCCCCCCCTTTCCCCCACACCCCCATTTTTGGCCTACTTGCTAGGCGCCTCAAGAATAGAGACGAATCACACGCCTGAGTGGAGCATGGAGGGAAGAAAATCAAATCAAAGCTCACCTGAGCCGGTGACTTCGCGCTGTGGTTTGTTCTGCCAGGGCAGGCGGTAGTTGGGACTACTCCCCACGGCGAACACCTTCACTACCGAGTCCAACACCGCCTCCTGAACGTCCTCCGGCAAGTGATCATCTTCCGCCCTCCATCCCCGCACCCACCCCATCCCCCCCTTTCCCCCACACCCCCATTTTTGGCCTACTTGCTAGGCGCCTCAAGAATAGAGACGAATCACACGCCTGAGTGGAGCATGGAGGGAAGAAAATCAAATCAAAGCTCACCTGAGCCGGTGACTTCTCGCTGGGGTTTGTTCTGCCAGGGCAGGCGGTAGTTGGGACTACTCCCCACGGCGAACACCTTCACCACCGAGTCAAGCACCGCTTCCTGATCGTCCTCCGGTAAATGATCATCCTCCGCCGCTGCCGCCTCCGCGCCGTCCGCCTCCGCGCCCTCCCCCGCGCCCGCGCCCGCGCGGAGGTCGTCCCGCGGGCCCGGCGGCATGAGCGCCTGGGCGGACGGCCCTTCCCGCCCCAGGCCCATGCCCGGACCCAGGTCGCTGAGCCCTGTGTCGCTTCGCTCTCCCCCCTCCCGGTCCGTGCTCAGACCCCGCCTTAAGAGCCACGCCGACAGGGAGTAAAAGCGAGGACCTGCGGCAGCAATGGGAGACGCCGAGCCTGAGGCTCGGTCCCCAGGCGAAGAGGCTCGGGGAGGACTGGTGGTGGCGGAACGGTAGTGGGGAGATTGCAGGGGGTGGGGGGAGAAGGCTGGGGGGACCTGTGAACGGTCATGGAAAGAGCTACATAGGCCATAGGGTGTGGGGTTTGCGGCTGCGATCGGGTACGAGTTCTTGACGACGACTCGGTGCAGTGTGGTTCTGTTAGGTAACACTGATGAATCTGGTGACGTGCTTTCAGCGGTGTGGTGAGAAGTTGATGCTTTTGGAAAAACGTTGGCTGAGGAGGAATAAGCGGCGGCTAATGCGGAGAGGTTGACTGTCCTGAGGACGGCCCATGACAGCTGGCAAGCGACGGTTGGCAGATGGCGACACGTCAGGTGGGATATGATTGGTGATGGACTAATAACCGCCATTCCTGAAGATTCATTTAGAAAAAAAAAAAAAAAAAAATCTCTTGTTCTTCAACAGGCTATGAACAGTCAATGGCGTTCGCTACGAAAATTCAAAATACGGGGACACGCCCAGGCCGCCAATCGCGTCATTCCTACTAAATTGCATCTTGCAACCTCGGAATCGGAACAGCCGATGGTCAGTGTCGTCTGAAATCAATATACAGCAAACAGCCTCCCTGGTCCAGTAAAGTGCGGAGCTGGGAAGACCAGAAATCCATAGAGCTATTTCTGCGGGCAATAAAGACTGACGCGGTGAAGTCAATACTAGTCTTGGCTGATACTACACTAGACTAATTCGAAAGTTCTGCAGTCTACACATAGCTGCGGTCTTGTTCGGTTTGTTCCTTTTCAAAGCGTTCTATGCCCTAGAACCGCTGGTTGGGTGGGTGGGCCCGTTATAAGTAAGGGAGAGTTGACTGACAGACAAGCCACGTCGATGTACAATGATTGGTGAGCCCTCGATATTATCATACAGCACACCAGCTCTAGCAATCCAAGCCGAGGAAAGCACGTGTCAAGTCGGATCGGGTGGGTCTCTCTCCCCAAGTCAAACCTGGCTTGAGCTTATGTGGCGAGGAGGCAATCTGGGGCCAATTGGGCATGCTTAACTTCCTGTAAAAGCGGGTGCACTACAGTACACTGTTGTCATCAAGCCCACTGCTACAGTAATGCTGCTGCTGATTCAAAGGTTTCTTTCGGACTTACATAAATCATCCATGCTGACCATCATACACTTCCATAAAGAAGGGGCCCACAGCCAGCCATGGGACAAATGATATTTGGTTAACTGGGTGGAGAAATCATCCACTGGAAAATATGTCTTTTGCTTGCATTGATGAAGTCCTTCACCATGGACCAAGCAAATGAGACTTCTAGCCAAATAGTAGAAGCTGCTCCAGTCGAATGCCAAGAGTGTTCGCCACCTGCACGCCCCATGCAAAACACACACAAACACACACATCCAGGACCATTAGGCATAACCACACACCATTCGCATGAGCACCAGGCAATGCATAAAAAGCCAACTAAATAAGTCCCTCCATTCACCTCCTTTCCTCCCCTCCCCTACACCCCATCCCCCCCCTCCATCACCGCCCTGGACTCCTCCCCTAGTCACCTGCCTGAACTCCCTCCATCTGTTCCCCCCCCCTCTTAAAGCGTCATACCTGCTTCACCAGTTCCTTTCTGGCACTGCACTTGAACCGTGTCGTGCTCGCCAGCCTGTCTTCCCCTGACTGGCTCACCAGCCCTCCGCGAATCAGAGTCGCAAGCTGAGTCAGCAGGCTGTCATCCACCGCAGGTGCTGACTCAGCAGCACCACCACTAGCAACCGAGGCGAGAGGAGAGGACCAATGAGCTTTCACCAAGTGGTGGGCCATGAACAGCCAGCGCGAAAGAGCGAAGGGAATGGGCCCCTGCTGCTGAGCCTCCCTGGCCTCTCTCGCCTGCTTGTCTAGATCCGCTGCACTTGCCTTCCTCTTCCTCCTGGACCGAAACCCGGCTCCACCGGCTTGCAAAGAGTCTGAGAAGTTGAAGAGGGTCGAATCGGACGGTGCTGGGTTGCGTGAGCAGGTGAACGCTGCCACAAGGGCGAATCGAGCCATGATGGGAAGATCTGGTCCGTCCATTGGAGCTTCTGGGCCCCACCCTAGCATCATCTGCTGCTGCTGCTGCGGCTGCTGCAGGGTGCACTGGAGTGGGTACATTCCGTGGAACGGGGAGTTGGCAGCTGAAGCAGTGGCAGCAGCAACAGCAGTAGTATCCATGACAGAGGAGCGTACGAGCGTGGAGACGGGCTGCTTGAGTGTGGCTCCTATGTGCTCCTGTGCGCGCATATACAGCAGGCGTGCACAGCTGGGGTGGTCGGGGGACACGGTGCCTGTGGTGATCGGAGTGGTGTAGAGCGGCCAGGAGTGGTCCACGAGCGAGACGAGGTGCGGCAGGGAGCGACAGGCACGGGAATACACCGGAACCACCTGCCTGCGGTGGGGAACGTAGGGTCAAGGAAGGTTCATAAATGGCAACAGAGATTGGAAAACTGGTGGACGAAAAAGGGCGTGAGAAAGGAGGTCAACGGACAGGGCAAGAAGAAGAGGGGAGCGTCCATGTGAAAGGTTCGTGAGAGCAAATGGATGTGAACGAATGTGGGTGGAGTACCTGAGGAAGGAGAGGAAGAGCGGCTGATTGGGGCGCATCCCAGCAAGAACGGTTTTCAGCTCCTTGTCACTGTATGGTAGGAAGAACACCGTCACCGGCTCACATGCTGTGTTCTGAGTCGACTCAAAACACGGTAAGGGATGTGGGTGAAATACCTGAGGAAGGAGAGGAAGAGCGGCTGATTGGGTCGCATCCCCACGAGAACAGTTTCCAGCTCCTTGTCAGTGTATGGTGGAAAGAACACTGTCACCGGCTCACTCGCCGCCACTGCCATAGCCGCTGCCGCCGCTGCCCCTGCTCCTCCTCCCCCTCCTCCCCAACCTCCTCCCCACCCTCCCCCCCAGCTGCCCCCACCCCCCATCCCAGCAGCACCAAGGCCGCAAGTTGACGCCCAGTCCAGTTTGCTCACTAGAATTAGCCCTAAGTTAGACTGCCCCAGCAGTTCGGGCAGACGGAGGAAAGTTTCCAGCAGCTGCGGGCCTTCCCCTGCAGGGAAGGCTTTGAGCTGCTCCAGGTTGTCTATAACGAGGTACACTGTAGCATCAATACAGGGCTTCACCAAGCAGACTTGACGCTCCTTATCGCCCGCTGCAAGAGGGCTGGTCTGCGGGCCTGGGCCCATAAAAGCCCCCTGCTTCCTTCCGTCATCTGCCCCTTTGGTGCCCTCGGCACCTGCGAATGCAGCAGCCAAGGACCGCCGTGCACTCGGGTGGGTGGGACCTCCCCCCGCTCCTCCTCCTTCCCCTCGTCCCATACCTCCGCCCTTGTGCTTCTCTCTGCTGCCGGGCCTTTGCTCTTGCACTTGCACTGCCTGCGGCATCTTCTGCTCCATCTGCTCCTCCTGCCGCTGCTGTACTGCCTGAGTCCCTATCGCACCAGGACCCACCTCAATCACATCGTCATCCTCTTCGTACCCCGCGTTCTCCACCTCTTCACCTTTCTCCTCCTGCCCATCTATCTCTGCTCCTCTCTCCTCTCCCTCCATCTCAAATCCCGCCTCCGCTCCTCCTTCCTCCTCTCCTTCCTCCTCTCCTTCCTCCCCGTCCTCACTCCTCACCTCCCCCTCCTCCACCTCATCCTCGCGCCCCACAACCGCAGCCTGCCCACCGCCGTTCATCACGAACCACAGCCCACTCGCTTCCCCCCTCTCCCGCTCTCCTCTCGCACCGCCCGCCTCTGCCTGCGTGTGCACTGTGGGCCGCTTCGCATGGCGGGGCGACGCTGGTGGCTGCAGCGCTGCCTCCTCATGCTGCGTCGCACACTCTCCTGCTGCCATCTCAAGCCCTCCAGAGGTTTGCTCGCCGCCGCTCCGGCCCTTGTCACAGTCTGTTTCGTGGTGCGCTGCCATAGAGTTGGCAGTAACAGGGGCCGCAGCGAGTCTGCTTCGAAGCATCCCTCGAGTGATCCGCCTCTCTTCGTCCCCTTCCCATGTGATCACGCCCTCTTTTCTCTTCTTCCCTTCTCCTCCCTTGCACACTGCACCATCTGCGCCCTTACGTCTCTTCCCTCTCTCCTCTCCTTCCTGATCGTCCTCTTCTCCCACTCTCCCGTCCCGCTCATCTCTTTCCTCTTCCTCGCTTTCATCGTCATGACCTTCCGCTTCCGCCTCTTCCCTTTCCCCTTCCGCCTCCCCTGACAGAACCCGTAGCAGTGCCCTCAGGAATACAGCTCGGTTGGGAATGGTGGAGGGGAAGGAAGCGGGTCTTGCAGGCAACACGCGTGTGCGTTCACGGGGCTTCTCCACTTGCTGCTCCCTTTGCTGTTCCTCTTGCTGCTGCTGCTGCTGCTGCTGCTGGGCCAGCTGGGTCAGAACCGCGTGGTATACCAATTGCGGGGACCCGCAGGCGGAAGTGAGGGGGAGGTAGACGTGGGGACGGCGCATCTGCGTAAGCGCCGCGCGGATCACGGCGGTTTTTCCGGTGCCTGATGGCCCGCAGAGGAAAAGAGGCGGCACGCGATCGAACGGTCCTCCGACGTGCAGGAGAATGTCCTCGATCTGCCACGTGGCATGCGAGTTCGGTGGTGATAGTTGGAATGAGGAGAGACGGGGTTAAAGAGCAGGAAGCACCCTGGAGATATCATTATAGGACTAGGGCTGCCAAACGCGACAGGAAAGGTACGAGAACGAATTACTTGCAGATTGCATTCCGAAGTTCTGACAACAGATAAGATGATCGGCCTACTGACCTGTCGCTTCCGGCATGAGAACTTCGAACGAAGCTGCTCCGCAACTTCCCTCGCGTCCATCTCGCCTCGCTGTCGAAAATGAGCGACACTAAGTTCACAAAATACGAGTGGTATTGCCGACGAGAGTGTAAGTATGGATTAACAGCCCATGTCTACCGACGAGTAAATGCCTGTTGAGCCTACGGGTGAAGAGAAACCGCGCTGCCTGCACCGTTAGGGTGACGTTGGAGCCGTGAAGTCCGTACTACGTTTTTCAACAGACGGATAAACTCGGCTAAAGTCGGCAAGCCGGCTGAAGTTGCAGTCAGACTGGAATCGCCTCAATACAGCAGGTACGGCCATTCCAACACTAGAGCGGCGCAAAAAGCGTGTCCATTCAAGAGCACGAGAAACTAGCTTAGGGATTGCCGTACATTACCAGTTTCGTAAACAAAGCCACAGAAAGAAGCTGAAGGAAGAAAAAGAACGGGAAGTGGGTTAGTAGAAATGCGGGTGAAGCTGTAGGAAGTGGGTGGAAGGGTGACAGCCGAGACGCACTTTGAGCTGAAATGGGAATCCCAATGCCTGAAAATGCATGCAACTTTTGGCGGGAAAGCTTGAACGGTTTCCTTTGAGTACTGTACAGAAATTATCATTCATAGATCGTTATTGCAACTACTGTAACCTCGTGTTGAGAAAATATAAGAAACATGCGAAGCAACATAATAGCTCTCGCTTCTCAATTTCGCTAACTTCGCCTAGCCGAACCAGCGACCCAGCCAAACTTCCACGCCCCTTCCCGTTGCCAGGGGCCATTTCAATCCCTCCATCCAACCCAACTCATCTGACATGCTCCCACCCCACTCAACCGAATCACACCATTACAAACAATCTGTCGCTAACAGCACTCTGACCAGCATGAAGGCAGCATTGGCTGATAACAAGGTCCTACACTCTCATCAATTCGTTACCTTCCTTTCTCATGGTTCCTCCTCCACATTGCGGCTGTAATAAAATTCACAAGCGCGCATTACGCCATTGCTCCACCGCCCACATTTTTGTCAGCGAAATCAGTACATAAACTGCCTCTGACTAGGTCCTGTGCGCATAACTTCAGGTGTCTAATTCTTCTGTATTGCGAAAGCAGTTTTCTGTGAGAATGGCCGGGAAGAGGAGCGGACACGGGGAAAACGCTCTGGCTGCGGCAGGTCGCCACATGGTGGGGGTGGGGAAGCACGTGGAAGGCGCGTGCCGAGCCATGTGGGTTGAAGTGTCCAATCACGGGCAGAAGCGCGAGTACCAGCTTGTGGGGGGCGGCGGCGGTTTAATTGAGGTTAGTGTTCTTATTGAGGAGGGAATGGAAACGGAGGGTATTGAGAGGGGATAGAGAGAGTGTGGGTTGTGTAGAAGGCTTGAGGGGTTAGTGAGGCTTTAGCCATGCAAGCGGTTTGCTTCCCTTCCCCCTCTCCCCCTCCCTTCCCCATCCTTCCCCCTCCTTTACATTAGGTAATCCCTACCTGCATGGTCTTGCCCTTCAGTTCCCCTCAGTTGTTATTCCACCATGCACAAATTCATCCAACCTATTCTTCCTTTCAACCCATTGCATGCGATCGCATGCGACCTAACAAGGCATGTGGCCTGTCATGGCATGACACGGCATGGTGGTGGCGTACACACGGTATGTCATGACATGGCACGTCATGGGTGCATGGCATTGCATTGCACTACATTGCATGGCATGGCATGGCATGGCATGGCATGGCACATGCGGCATGGCAGGGGCACATAGTACCAGACACACGCTCCATCCCCGATCGCCTCATAGCAGCATTCAAAAACAAGTTCTTCCCCATGGGCTACCCCGACAGGTAGGGCTACCCCGACAGGTAGGGCTACCCCGACAGGTAGGGCTACCCCGACAGGTAGGGCTACCCCGACAGGTAGGGCTACCCTGACAGGTAGGGCTACCCCGACAGGTACGCTATACAATCTCGACGGATGAGGTCATCTGGATAGATGGGGCTATCCCGATAGGTACGGGCATTCACCTTCGAGATTTCTCATGGACAAAGGCGTTCACCCAGCACCCCTCCACCCCCCACTCTTCCCACTTCCCCGCCGTTTCCCCTGTTTTCCTCTGCAGCGTGGCGTAGGGTTACATGCTGTTCTCGCAGTACCGGGGCATTCAGCACATTGCTGTGGCGGCTCTCAACGGGCTCTCCACACAGGTAAGCAGCAGACTCTTATATTGAGTACTTTTGTGTACATGGCAGCACATCGCCTCCTGTTCCCCATCAGGTTCCCCATCAGGTTCCCCATCAGGTTCCCCATCAGGTTCCCCATCAGGTTCCCCATCAGGTTCCCCATCAGGTTCCCCATCAGGTTCCCCATCAGGTTCCCCATCCCATCAGGTTTCCCATCCCATCAGGTTCCCCATCCCATCAGGTTCCCCATCCCATCAGGTTCCTCATCAGGTTCCTCATCAGGTTCCCCATCAGGTTCCCCATCAGGTTCCCCATCAGGTTCCCCATCAGGTTCCCCATCAGGTTCCCCATCAGGTTCCCCATCAGGTTCCCCATCAGGTTCCCCATCAGGTTCCCCATCAGGTTCCCCATCAGGTTCCCCATCAGGTTCCCCATCAGGTTCCCCATCAGGTTCCCCATCAGGTTCCCCATCAGGTTCCCCATCAGGTTCCCCATCAGGTTCCCCATCAGGTTCCCCATCAGGTTCCCCATCAGGTTCCCCATCAGGTTCCCCATCAGGTTCCCCATCAGGTTCCCCATCCATCCCCCCTTCAGTGTGAGACTCACACTACACCACTCTCACCCCTCCTTCAACTGCCCAACCTTCCACACTCCTTCTCCCCCCCCCCACACTAGTCACTCTTATTTGCGGCGGGGTTGCGTCTCACACCCGCGCAGGCAACGATAGTGAGCTGGGTGGTGAAGGGCGGCATGCAATGCAGTGCAGCACTGAGAGCAAATTTAAACCTCCCTCTCTCCCCCTTCTTCTCTTCCTCCCACACCCCAGTCGCTCCTCTTTGCAGCCGGTCTCCGCCCCACGCCAGCGCAGGCCACGATAGTGAGCTGGGTGGTGAAGGACGGCATGCAGCATGCCACACTTGAAGCATCTTATTCCCATTCCACTCCCCCCTTCACTTCACCCCCTCCTGCTTCCCACCAGTCACTGTTATTCGCAGCTGGTCTCCGCCCCACCCCCGCACAGGCCACGATAGTGAGCTGGGTGGTGAAGGACGGCATGCAGCATGCCACACTTGAAGCATCTTATTCCCATTCCACTCCCCCCTTCACTTCACCCCCTCCTGCTTCCCACCAGTCACTGTTATTCGCAGCTGGTCTCCGCCCCACCCCCGCACAGGCCACGATAGTGAGCTGGGTGGTGAAGGACGGTATGCAGCATGCCAGCAAGATCGCTGCCAGTCGTCTCGGGCGCAGCATGGACGCCGATCCCAAGCGCTGGCGCGTTGCTGCAGATGTGGTTTGGGATGTTGGGGCCTTCTTGGAGTGCCTTTCCCCCTTGATGCCCCACCGCTTCCTGCTGCTTGCTGGGCTCGCCAATGCTGGGAAGGTGAGTGAGTGAGAGGCCATGTGTTGAGGCACCTCAACTGATTGTTAGCAAGATCGCAGCCAGTCGTCTCGGGCGCAGCATGGACGCCGACCCCAAGCGCTGGCGCGTGGCCGCTGATGTGGTGTGCGATGTGGGGGCCTTCCTCGAGTGCCTCTCGCCTCTCATGCCGCACCGTTTTTTGTTGCTGGCTGGCCTCGCCAACACGGGAAAGGTGAGTGCGAGGCCGTGTGTTGATGCAGTCTTGAGGCGTTGAAAAGATCTTGAGGTGCCTCAGTAGATGCCAGCAAGATCGCTGCCAGTCGTCTCGGGCGCAGCATGGACGCCGATCCCAAGCGCTGGCGTGTGGCTGCTGATGTTGTCTGTGACGTTGGCGCCTTCCTTGAGTGCCTTTCCCCGCTCATGCCGCATCGCTTCCTGCTGCTCGCAGGGCTTGCCAACGCGGGAAAGGTGAGTGCGAGGCCATCTGTGTGTTGATGCACCTCCACTCCACCTAATTCTTTCCTGGCTGCCATTTGAGTGCATATTGCCGCTCATGCCTTTTTGAAGTGCCTCTCTGCGTTCATGCCGCATGTCTTAAAGCTGCTCACTGGGCTTGCCAACACTCGCAGGACTCAAGCTCCTTCCTTAAGTGCCTCCTTTCCCCTCTCCCCATCCACTCTCCCCACCACAGGGCCTCTCACTCGTGATCGCTCGCGCCACGCGTCTCCCTCTGTACGACGCGTTTGCAACGGAGGGCAGCATTAGCGACCTCTACGCAAAGGCCACAAGCCTGCTGCTCTCCCTTCCGCCCTCCACGCCACAGGGCCTCTCACTGGTGATAGCTCGCGCCACATCAGCGACCTGTACGCAAAGGGCGAGGCCATCAGCGTCCTCTCCTCTCTTCATCTCTCCCCGCCCACCCTCTCTCCTTCCCACCACAGGGCCTCTCCCTGGTGACAGCTCGTGCCACCCGCCTGCCGCTGTATGATGCGTTTGCAAGGGAGGGCAACATCAGCGACCTGTACGCAAAGGGCGAGGCCATCTGCCTGCTCCCCTCCCGTTTGCTCTCCCCACCCACTTTCCTTGCCACAGGGCCTCTCCCTAGTGATTGCTCGTGCCACCCGCCTGCCGCTGTACGATGCGTTTGCGAAGGAGGGCAACATCAGCGATTTGTACGCCAAGGGCGAGGCCATCAGCGTCCTCTCCTCTCTCGCTGGCCTTGCCCTCGGCCTCAAACTCGCCTCCTCCGTCTGCCAGACAGCCCAAGCAAAGGTAGGACGTAGGAGTCAGTGCCGTAGGAGTCAGTGCCTTCTCCTCCCTCACCGGCCTTGCTCTCCGCTTTAAAGTCGCCATTCCCATCTGCCAGTCAGCTCACGTTTTTTTTTTTTTTTTCCCAACTCATTCCCTCGTCCCGCCATGCTCTACTCATTTCCAAGTCTGTCAACTCATCTCTCCACTCACCTCTCCCCACGGTTCCACCCACCTGCACCTACAGCTGGCAGCAGTGCCGGTGCTGGCGGCGGTGCATCTGTGGTCGGTGACAGAGGAGATGAGAGCCGTGCCCATCAACACTCTCAACGCCCAGCGCACCAACGTGCTCATCAACCACTTCCTCTCCGTGAGTCGCTGAGTGCTCTTAGCACCCTCCTCTGCATTCCAATGGTGCATTCTCCTCTCAACGCCCAGCGCACCAACGTTCTCATCAACCACTTCCTCTCTGTAAGTCGCAACATGCTCCCAGCACCCTCCTCTGCATTCCATTGGTGCACTCCCCTCTCAACGCTCTGCGCACCAACGTGCTCATCAACCACTTCCTCTCCGTGAGTCACCGAGTGCTCTCAGTCGCTCTCCCTGAAACTCATCAGAGCAGCAAGTTATCGAGCACATCAGACATGCGGCAGCCCTTTTTGTTCAGTTGCCTGGGAATGTTTTCACACGGTTTCTGACATGACCCTCCCGTCCAATGGGCCCGCTCCTCTCCTCCCTGGTGTGCATCAGAGTGGCGAGCTATTGAGCCCAGCGGACATGCGGTGGAGGGAGAACATTGTGAAGCCCGACCCGCCGCTCACACTCCCTGCGACCCGCCGCCTCGCCCTCCCGCCCGCTCCACAAGGCACCAAAACCAGCAGTGGTAGGAGCAGCAGCACTGCTAGCACCACTACCACGAGCACCACCAGTGTCACAAGCAGCACCAACAGCAGTGACAGCAGCAAGAGCACGAGCAGCAGCAGCAGCAGGTTGTGTGTGGGCGCTCCTCTTGCAGAAGCCCTGGGATCCCCAAGCAACCTGGCCAAGCTGAAAAAGCTCTTCTCCAAGGAGAAGTTTCTTCTCAGCTGCCCGGAACGGGACGCAGCAGGTGGGGTGCCGCGGAAGATGCATCTGATCCTGCACAAGACAGCGGACGGCCAGGATGCAATCAGAGCATGGCTGCTAGCGTCGTGCATCAGCCAGGCAATCAGCAGAAAGGCACGGGTAGCTGGAAAGAGCAGCACAGGGGGTGCCGGATGGGGTGACTGGGAGGGGAGTGTGCGGGAGGCTTACGGGGAGATGGAGCAGCTGCTGCCACACATGCTCAGGGGGTTGAAAGACAAAGGATGGCACACACACTCATTCCTTCAGGGCTCCACAGCTAGGAGGGCAGTGTGGTGATGATTAGCAGAAGAACGTGCATGTGTAAGGTATCTTTCAGTTCGGAGTTCACTGAAACACATGTATTCCCAGTATTCATGGAGCTATTTCATTGGAACAACCAAGGCGTGCAGTGCAGCACAAGCAGGTCAACACTCATGATTGGTAAACACCTGTGTAAGGCGTAGAGAAAAGGGCAGCCTAACTTGCAGAACTATGTACAATTCAAGCTGGTGCATCCAGCCAATAGCATGACATGATAACAAATGTACGACATGAACAAACGAATTTTAGGCCGTTCGATCTTCACAAGGTGCCAACACCAGTTCTCTTGGTCTCCGGCTCTAATTCCGGCTCTAGCTCAGGCGGTGGCGTGAATTCCGGCGAGTCTAGGTCTGCCAGGTTCTTGAGATCGACCACGGAAAGCATGTCCAGCTTGCGAACCACCAGATCCGCTGCACCCAACTCATACACTGGGTGCCTCCCTGCAACGGTGACAACCTGAGCCGGAAATACACAACACAAGGACCTGTCAGACACATAGTAGACCAGGATACAGATGCAGAAGGAAGATCAAAAGAAAAAGGTTTACTTACCTTCATGTAAGCATCGTGGGCCGCCTCTATAGTGGAGTTGGAGCTCCCAATGACGATGCAGCGCTCGGGAATAAACTGCAGTCGCTGTGCCGCATACTGCAACAAATCAAGTGAAACAGAAACACGGCGACATTCCAAATCGTCAAACACGTTGCGAAACAGGATTCAGAACGGAAAGAGCGGCCCTGGCTATCGAAGTAAGAGATTTTGAAAGGGGGGAAACAAACACAAGGACCCACCTGGTACATCTCAGGATCCGGCTTTCCTCTCTGCACGTCATCAGCGGAAATGACAGCATCGAAGAAGCCCTCCATGCCCACCGCCTCCACTGCTCGCTCCAAGTATCTCGCCGGACGAGTCGACACAATCGCCACGGGAATCTTGCACCGCTTCAAAGTCTCCAAAAATTCTCTGGAGCCCGGAAGAAGCCTGTAGCAACCTCCCTGAAACTGTTCATACAGTTCTTCTTTTCTCTGCGACAGTCTCCGTACAGTCATAAAGTCGCGCGACCAGCAGAGCACCTCGCGAATAACCTGCTCGTTCTTCATGCCTTCTGCTCTCTTAAGAACCCAAACGGGAGGCTGCGGTCGGCCTTCCTCTTCCGCAAGAGCTATCCACGCCTGACGTTCAAAAACAGAATCGTCTTCAATCACTACCCCCTCCCACTCCAACAGAACGGCCAGCCATCCGCACCCCATGCGCTCCAGTCTTCTCAACGGATTATGCAGCGACAAATCGTCAGCCCTGTCACTAGGTACAAGAGGACGCGACGGAACCTGCGGCATGCGAGGGAAATTCTCCTTTAAGAAGCTCTGAGCTTCCCACGGCTTGAAACGAGGCTCGAAAGTAGCTTCTTCCATTGCTTCCATGGCTGACTGTACAGGCACGTGCCTTCGTCGCTCCGCTTCGTTCCATGATGATATCAACCTGGCGTTGCTTTTAGGGAGCCTAGCAGGAAATAGAGCTCTGCTGAACGACGCTGACTCGTTCGCGCGGACCTTGCAGCTGAAACCTATACCTGCTAAACCGCAGAGCTGCTGAGAAGTCACTGTCGCCATGGCGAGCAAACGTAGCAATGCCAAGTACAAGACCAGAGGAACGAGAGCAGGGCGGGTCCTCGTGCCGAAATGAGGCTGAAGATTTGAAAATGACAGGGAGAACACTGGAAAACTGGAGGTTGGAGCAGCTGTCAGAATCAGCAGCATATGAGCATTGAGGAACGCTGGGGGGGGAGGATCAGACAAGCCGAGGGGGGTGGGTGAAAACAGGATGCAATGGAAGTAGGCACAGCGGATGTCAAGCAGGCAAAAACCAAACCCTACCAAGCCTGTAGGTGCTTCGGGCCCGACAGCTCCGGCCGAACCGAAAATGCCAGAGACGTCGGTTCAGCCGCTTTCGCCTCGCCTCGCCACGCCAACCAACACTGCCCGAAGCAACAAGATTCTGCACTCCATTTTCATGGGGCAGGTTCAGGGAGTGCAATGGCTGTATCTGGTCATGTGGATATAGATTCTCCTTCGGATGGAATCACCATGACCTGGCCAGATAATGGGGCAGGAGGAAGGAATACCTGGCCACCCAGGCTTCAGGGATTTTCGTGACACCATTCGTCAGAAACAGCGTGTTTCCCGCTTAGAGGTGGAAAAGCAAACGAGTCGGGCCTATTAGCCACCATTTCCACGTGCCTCGTCGTGGAATCAAATGGAGCCACGTCGCAGATCCTGCTACGAGTAGTGCTTGTGTCACACGCAAGACACTCAAATGCTTACAGTGAAACACTCGCGTCGCTGTCGCACATTCATTCTGTTTAATGAATGTTCTTAACGTGATATGTTAAAAATGGTTGCAATAGAAACTTAGTAATCTCATCAATTCATTCCGCGCAGTATTGCCATTATCCTAAATTCATACAAATCGACAAAATATTTCACAACCAAACATCGCCATCCGCAGGGGGCAATGACTGCAACAAATCAGCATCCAACGGAATTCCTTGCGACAACTGAAACAGCGCCAGAGATAGTGCCATCGACGCCCCAAAAGCAGCAGCCAGCTTCTTGGAGTCAGCTGGTTCTACCACCAGCTCGTACGACTCCTCGTTTGTTTTCTGGCTGAGGAAAGAGTTGAGCAGCCCCTGTTGCCGCTTGGCTGCCTCCTCATTGGATATCTTCACTTTGCGCATGGATGGAGCTGCAATGCTGCCGAAAAGATAGCCTGCCAGTGCTGCTCCAGCATGGGTGCTGTGGGGGGGAAATGGAGGCATGGGGAGAACTGACAGTAAGACCTTGTGCATGTATCAAGCAAGCAAGGATGCATGTGACACAAGGGGTAGGTGGGACACGGAAGGGGAAAACAAGGGTCTGGTGGTCACAGGTGCCATGTGGACAGGTATGCCCATGATGATGACCTGACAGGCACAGCCATCTGTCTGCTCAGGGAACAAGGACAGTACTGCCTGTGCAGCACAAACCTGTAGCACAAGCCTCCCTGTCGCAAGCTCATCCGTTCCCTTCAGCCAAGAGGGTAACATGCATGAATTAGCATGCTTCTTCCAAACTTTGAAAAAACTATTACAAGAGATCAGATGTCGGCCCATCACTCGCCAACACCTCCCTGGGAGGAAATACTACCAGTTCTTATCATTCACAAGTGGTCAATTGCACGATACTCACTAGGGGCCGACCAAGTAGGGCACTCACGAGGGGTCGATGGGCAAAGGGTTGGCGAAGAGGGCGAAGAGAGCAGCGATGATGAGCGACTCGCGCACGTTGCTGTCCGCTGTCTCCGTGCCGATCACCTCCCGGTTCTTTATCAGGAACGCCGCGTACGCTGCTACCACCCCGTACACTGGACCCTGAGTCATGTGTCCCCGAGGGTGAAGCACATGGGCATAGAGGAGTGTGAGAACAAAGTACAGACCTCTGTGTGAGTGCAGCGTTATGGATGTGAAAACTCAAACGCTATTGAATGGGTGAGTTGCAGTGGGCGGATACGCAGGTGGAACAGGGGGCAAGCGTAAGTGAGGGAGAGAAGAGGGCGAAATGGAAACCCTTACCGTGCCGCCAACGGTGACGTCAGGCGTCTGCAGGAAGGACATGATGTTGCCTGCGAGGCCGGAGGAGAGGTACACTGCGAGCAGACCCAGGGGGCCGATGGCAAACTCGAGAACACTGCCGATGCCCAGCAGGAAGAACGTTCCCACGGAGAGATGGATTATGCCCGCATGCTGCCGGTGGTTGGGTGAGGGTGGAGGGAGGGAGGTGAATGGAAGGGGGAAAGTGGGGTAAGGAATAGTGATGGATGGTGGTGGCATGCAGTTCAAAGTACAACACTCACACTGACATATGGATTATGCCAGCACACTAGAAGAGGGTGGGGCGCTGGAAAGGGCGAGCGAGTGGGAGTGGGTGTGTATGGTTAAAGTAGGGTGGGGACCGGTGATAGGAGGATGGAGGCCAGAACTGAAGACAGAGGGAATGGTGGAAGTTGGAGGCTGATGCGCAAGGACAGGGGAGAGAAAAGAGCACAAGAGCCATGAGAGGCTGGGAGCAGGAAAGGCAGGAAGGTGGCATGTGGGCAGGTGGGGACGTACGAGGAGGGAGGGCGTGAGGAGGCGCCACCACTCGCCGGCTTCAATGAGCGGGTTGACCTTGGCGGCGAGCAGCGCTGGCAGCGACGTGGTGATCACCCCCGGCACCGCCTCGGGACTGGCGAGCTCAAACAAGAACACCGCTATGTTGATCGCCACTAGCGTGTAGCTGATGGTGGGTGAGGAGGGGGTAGGGGAACGGGAGGGCGTGAGGAGGCCTCGATGAGCGGGTTGACCTTGGCGGCGAGCAGCGCTGGCAGCGACGTGGTGATCACCCCCGGCACTGCCTTGGGACTGGCGAGCTCAAACAGGAACACCGCTATGTTGATCGCCACTAGCGTGTAGCTGATAGGGGGTGAATGGGTAGAGGGCAAGGAGGGAAGGGGAAAAGGGGAAGAGGAAGAGGGAACAAGTGTGAGGTAGGAGGTAGGAACGGGACTGGCGAGCTTAAAAGGGAACGCCTCGATGTTGATTGCCACTAGCGTGTAGCTGTTGGGGGGGAAAGGGAGGGAAGGGGAAAGGGGCAGGACGGAAAGTGAAAGAGAGTAAGGGAAGGCAGAAGGTAAGAATGGATTGGCGAGCTCAGAAGGGAATTCGGTGATGTTAGCGAAGCGGGGGGGGCGGGAGAAGGGAGAGGGTGCGAGAGTAAGAGCACGCAGCCTGTTAGACAAGAAACTGACGATTCGTGAGAGGCACAGTTGGGCACCAGCGTGTAGGTATGGGAAGATGGGGAAAAGGAGGGAGCGTGAGAAGGAGGCAGGAGAGTGAAATGGCGGACAAGGAATTGGTTGGACGGACAAACACTGACGCAAGTGTCAGTTGAAAGAAACAGGGGCTGAATTCTGGAGGCCATGCAGCAGGAGGGCATCGGATGGGAGGGACCTCATGTGATGAGTAGTCTGGGAGGCAGCTACAAAAAATGCTCCCTCACAGTGAAATAGGCAAGCGGCCACTCCCTGGCACGAGGCTCTATCCCTCAAATGATCGCCTAACAGAGATAACCGTGCTCCCATCTACTCACTCACATGACCCTGTGCACTCCCTCACGCACACGCCATCTCACCGACTCTCATGCAACTGTGATCTCATTCTCACTGATGGCTCCAGAACAAGTTCATCTGTGAGGCGCGTCAACAGACAAAGAGACTTACACGGCGGTGGGAGCAGAAACGGCCGCTTTGGCGGAGATCCAGTCGTCCAGCAGGTTGCGCGGACCCATGATAGCCTCCAGAGTCAGGTCCGACACCTTGGCTGCACGGAGAACGCAGGGGTGCAGTGCGGTGCAGAGCACAGGCAAAGGACGGGCTTCAGGAAACGAAGGGAGGAATACACAAACGCGAGTGACGAACAGAGGCATGAAAAGCAAGACGGTTTCTTGTGACGGTCAACTGTCGGTTCCGTTCGCTCCTTTGTATAAGAAATCCTTCGTTTTACATTTTCCGCATATTTTGTTGTACAATCCCTCGACAGCAACCCATTCGTACTTGTTCAACAGTTAGTCACTAGGACCAGCAGTGACATGTAACGAGAAACAAAGCATGACGACCAGGGAAACATCACAAACAGCGACTCACTGTCAAGCGCGCCACTGCCCTTCTTCTTCTCCACGTCCTCCACAATCCGCCTGATAAGCTCCTCCACCTCCTCCGCCTTCAGATCCTTGCTTCCGCCGCTCTCCTCCGCCTTCCCCACCTTCGCCGCCTTCTCCGTTTTCTCCGCCTCCGCAACCTTGCTGCTGACGTCAGCCGGCGCTGTTGAAGACGCGGTGGCTGCGGATGCCTGCGAGGCGGCTGGTGCTGCGCTGGAATCAGCGTCCGCCTTCTTTTCTGCGGGAGCGGAATAAGGAAGAGGTGGGTGGATTTATCTCGAGTCACTCTTGACAAAGTTTCAAAAGTGACTCGATGCGGCTAGTGCTGCGCTGGAATCAGCGTCCGCCTTCTCTTCTGCAGGAGCGGAATAAGGAAGAGGTGGGTGGATTTATCTTGAGTCACTCTTGACAAAGTTTCAAAAGTGACTCGATGCGGCTAGTGCTGCGCTGGAATCAGCGTCCGCCTTCTTTTCTGCAGGAGCGGAATAAGGAAGAGGTGGGTGGATTTATCTTGAGTCACTCTTGACAAAGTTTCAAAAGTGACTCGATGCGGCTAGTGCTGCGCTGGAATCAGCGTCCGCCTTCTCTTCTGCAGGAGCGGAATAAGGAAGAGGTGGGTGGATTTATCTTGAGTCACTCTTGACAAAGTTTCAAAAGTGACTCGATGCGGCTAGTGCTGCGCTGGAATCAGCGTCCGCCTTCTTTTCTGCAGGAGCGGAATAAGGAAGAGGTGGGTGGATTTATCTTGAGTCACTCTTGACAAAGTTTCAAAAGTGACTCGATGCGGCTAGTGCTGCGCTGGAATCAGCATCCGCCTTCTTTTCTGCGGGAACGGAATAAGGACGTGGTGGGTGAATACATCTAAGCCACTTTTGGGAAATCTCAGAAGTGACTCAACGAGGCTGGTGCTGCGCTGGAATCGACGTAGGCAAAAAAAAGAATAAGGAGAAGGTAGGTGGGTGGCGAGAGAGAAGGCATACCTTTACCAGCGTTGAGCTTGTCGAAGTACGAATTTAGGGAGCTCAGTGCTTGGAAGTCTTTGGTTACTCTCTTCTTCTCCGCCGAACTGCTCGTATCAGCGGCGGCGGATGACGCTGATGAACTCGTGCTGGCGGCAGGCGATGCAGCAGGTTCTGCTGATGCTGCAGCAGCTGCAGGTGCAGCCACGGCTTCTGCGGTTTGTTGCTCCGGTGTTTGCTTCTCTGCGCTACTGCTGCTGCTGCTGCTGCTGCTGCTGCTGCTGCTGCTGCTGCTGCTGCTGGAAGAGCCATTCAGCTTTTCGAAGTACGCGTCGAGGCTCTTCATACTTGAAGGAGGAGGCGGAGGAGATGGATAAGCATCTTCTTTAGGGGAGCCTGATTGGTCAGAGTCCGTGCTCGGTCGTTGCTGGTCCTCGGAAGCTCTAACCCCGACGCCATTCTCCTTCTCCTCCGCTACAGTCGTTGTCGACTCCGAGCTTCCAGGCAGAGCACGAAGCCGGCACCGACGCTGCGAGTGCAATTTAGAGACTTTTGCTCCTACGAGTGTGACGGACCGAGCTTGGGATTTGCTGGAACGGAGATGCGCGAAGCGGGAAGCGGATGGTGGGACACGAGATGGCGGAACGACGGCTGATACGGAGTTAGAAGAAGAATTTTGAAAACTCGAGTCACGCGGCGGAAAGAGGCGATGGCCATGTGCAGCTGCTGGTCTGGTAAGTGAAAGGACTGTTGATGACATTTTCTTCTAGAAACCGTGGAAAAGGTTGTTCAGAGGGGAAAATGGAACAAAAACGCTCGTTTAAATTTGCGGAGATTTACGGAATATACGAGCGTAACGCAGGATGTAGTTGTTGCTCGATAGGAACCAAAATGTCAGGCTTGATGAGAGCACGACCTGAATGTGAAGCTGGAATGGCGTTCTGAAGTTCCCAAGGCTCCACCCCATAGAAAATGGTTGTGCCGCAGCGAACAATTTGGAGTGCTGCAGTGATTGTAGCGAGGGGAGGTTGGGGAAGGGGAAGAACCCTGCGGCACAGAATCCCCCCCCAGATGCGCACAGCACATTCAACTTCACGACGGGACGGAAGAGAGGGCGACGGACGCCGTCCTGTCATTGGATGCCCCCGCGCAGAGCACTTTACTGATCTTACACGTCAGCCTCGCGTGCGATGAGAGGCGCAAGTCTGGCAGCACCTGACCACCTCGAAGCCGACGTGTCAGTAACCACTTCTGTTGATGTGGCGAAGAGGGGTTGCGGGGTTGAATGCTGGGATTGCGTGGCAATGTGGGCCTAAGTTGAAGGAAAATACAGGGGAAACTATATCCTAGATCCTTACTTTCAGATTTCTCTCATATTTACCCCCAGGTTTACTCGAAAGGTCCCACTTTCTGGGATTTGGCTCACGCGAGGCCCAAATTATGTTCAAAACTGGTCCTGTAGGGCTCAAATATTGACACGTGTCTATTTCACACCAACAATTTTTGACGGGGCACAAAAACAATAATACCCCTGGGGAAACCAGGACACTTGTTCGGGAGGGATCAACCCTAAACACGGGAACCCGCCCGGTGTTTAGGGTTGATCCCTCCCGAAATGTATCCCGCGGGCAAAAATTAAACCCCTTGGCTTACGGCATGCCATTCGGGAGCATCAACCCTAAAATTTTAGGGTTGAGGCTCCCTCGGATGGCATCCCATCCGAGAGGGTTTTAGTTTTTTTTTTGCCCGCGATCAGCTTGCTGACTCGATTGCACTGCCTGCTTACGCAGGGGTATTATGTTTGGTTTGCCCCGTATAAAAAACCTTGCACGAAATCGACACGTGTCGTAATTTCTGCCCCGCAGGACCAGTTTTGAACATACTTTGGGCCTCGCGTGAGCAGAATTCCGCAAAGCTGGACTTTTTGGGTAAACTCGGGATCAAAATTGAGATATTTTTGAAACTGTGGAGCTGCGATGTACTTTCCCAAAATACAGAGAGCCCCGCTGGGAGCAAACCGCTTTCATGACAATCAGCTGGAGACAAGTTCCAAAGTGCGACATCCTATGGCATCTTTTGCAAGTCAAGATACATGATTGGAATCATATTATTACACAATTTCATTGAGTGAGGATTACCATCTAAAAGGGATTAATAAGAAAAGTTCATTATAAAAAGTTATATCATATGCGCAGCTTTTAAGTTGTAAATTTGGTGCGGCGTATCTCTTGTTTGCACGCTGCTAGTTTTGTAAACGTGTATCCCCCATATATATCTTGTTACTGTTCTTAAACGTAGTTTTTAGGCCCCTGGCTTAAATCCGCTAAAGAATAGCGAAGTCCACTAAGACGGGATAAAAGCGGCAGAAGACTTTGGCGAAAGAAGGTGTTTGTGAAATAGGCGATGTAGTTTTTGGGTAAATAGTTGAATGGAAATTGGTTGATATTGGTGGATACAAGCAATGTTGACAAAGAATTCAAAAGCAATTGTGGAAAAGTGATTTGTGGGACTAGTACTCAGAAGGCAAAGAAAGTAGAGTGCAACGTGACACTAGGAGAACAGAGAAGATAAGGATATAAATGAGTTGGAACGTGCTGTTCAAAGTGAACAGTATATCCCCCTCACTACCGCCATCATAGGGAGGCGACGTTCGCGGCGCCTGCAGACTAAAGGTACGCCTAAAGACAAGCGTTGTCGGAAGTTAGCGAGGATGTAGTAACCTAGCTGTCATCGGTAACATCGTAACCACACCAACCGACCAATAAGTCGATGAAAGATACAACCCCCTGAATATGGCGACGGTGCCTGAGGATACGCTGGATCTGGTAGTCAGGCTTGCTGATCTCAACAGCTACCAGCAGTAGAGTGCGATCATGGCCCGAGAAGGTCATGTTGGGATCAATGTATGGACAAACGAGAGACATGTAGAATGACGGGTGCATGCGGAAAATGAGCAGAACAAATGCTTAGAAAGGCCATGGATCCCTATAGGCGTAGCAAAAAAACATTCAACAACCTGAATGTTATTGCACATTCAAGTAGACTAGGTTCAACTACACGAATTAGAGCCTTTTCGGCTTGGTTCTTGTGCAAAGAAAAGTTCGGCGCCTATAATTTCGACCGTTTTTTGCCAACAAATGCTTAGAAAGCTAATAAATCTCTATAGGCGTAGGAAAAAGCATTCAACAACCTGAATTTTATTGCACATTCGAGTAGAATAGGTTCCATTACACATATTAATGCCTTTTTGGCTTGGTTCTTGCGCAAAGAAAAGTTCGGCGCCTATGATTTCGGCCGTTTTTGCCGACAAATGCTTAGAAAGCCCATAAATCCCCATAGGCGTATAGAAATGCATTCAACAACCTGAATCTTATTGCAAATTCGAGCAGATTAGGTTCCATACACCTATTAGAGCTGTTTCGGCTTGGTTCTTGCGCAAAGAAAAATTATGCGCCTATAATTTCAACCATTTTTGCTGGCAAATGCTTAGAAAGCCCATTAAAGCCCGCGGCCCAAATTGCGGGCCGCGCGGGTCAAGTTTTTAAAACTTGATGAAGTGCCCTGTTCAAGCTTTGAAAGGTACCGCAGGTGCAATTTGGGACTTCCGAAGTCCAACACACCCACCAGGGAGAAGTCGAGGGGCCTTTTGGGTTTGGCGAAAAAAAAAAAAAACGAATTTGACGAAATAAAAAACACTCGCCAAAACCCAAACCTCAAAAACTTCCTCTCGTCATCTTTTTAAAACTTGTGCAATTTGGGCCGCCGGCTTTAATCCCTATAGGCGTAGGGAAAAGCATTCAACAACCTAAATGCTATTGCACATTCGAGTAGATTAGGGTTCAATTACACCTATTAAAGCCTTTTCGGCTTGGTTCTTGCGCAAAGAAAAGTTCGGCGCCTATGGTTTCGACCGTTTTTGCCGACAAATGCTTAGAAACAACCTGAATGATACTGCACATTCGAGTAGATTAGGTTTAATCACACCTATTAAAGCCTTTTCGGCTTGGTTCTTGTGCAAAGAAAAGTTCGGCGCCTATGATTTCGGCCGTTTTGGCCGAGAAATGCTTGAAAAGCCCATGAATCCCTATTGGCGTAGGGAAAAGCATTCAACAACCTGAATGTTATTGCACGTTCGAGTAGATTAGTTCACTTACACCTATTGAAGCCTTTTCGGCTTCGTTCTTGCGCAAAGAAAAGTTTGGCGCCTATGATTTGGACCGTTTTTGCCGACAAATGCTTAGAAAGCCCACGAATCCCCATAGGCGTAGGGAAAAGCATTCAACAACCTGATTTTTATTGCTTATTCAAATAGATTATGTATATTTACACCTATTAGAGCCTTTTTGGCTTGGTTCTTGCGCAAAGAAAAGTTCGGCGCCTATGATTTGGACCGTTTTTGCCGACAAATGCTTAGAAAGTCCACGAATCCCCATAGGCGTAGGGAAAAGCATTCAACAACCTAAATTTTATTGCATATTCGAGTAGACTAGGTTCCATTACACCTATTAGAGCCTTTTCGGCTTGGTTCTTGCGCAAAGAAAAGTTCGGCGCCTATGATTTTGGTCATTTTTGCCGCCAAGTGCACAGAAAGCGCGTATACTTCTATAGGCGTAAAGAAAAGCATTCAACAACCTTAATTTTATTGCATATTCGAGTGGCCCATGTTCAAATACACATACTACAACCTTTTAGGCTTGGTTCTTGTGCGAAGAAAAGTTCGGCGCCTACGATTTCGGCCGTTTTTGCCGCCAAGTGCATAGAAAGCGTGTAAATTCTTGTAGCGTAGGGAAAAGCATTCAACAACCTGAATTTTGTTGCATATTCGAGTGGCCCATGTTCAAATACACATACTACAGCCTTTTCGGCTTGGTTCTTGTGCGAAGAAAAGTTCGGCGCCGACGATTTCGGCTGTTTTTGCCGCCAAGTGCCTAGAAAGCGCGTAAATCCCTGTAGCATAGGGAAAAACATTCAACAACCTGAACTTTGATGCATATTCAAGTGGCCGATATTCATATACACATGCGCGAAGGAAAGGTCGGCGCTTACGATTTCGGCCGTTTTTGCCGCCAAGTGCATAGAAAGCGCGTGAATCCCTATAGGCGTAGGGAAAAGCATCCAAAAACCAGAATTTTATTGCATGTTCGAGTTGCCCATGTTGAAATACACATATTAGAGCCTTTTTGGCTTGATTCTTGCACGATGAAAAGTTTGGCGCCTACGATTTTGGCCGTTTTTGTTGCCAAGTGGATAGAAAGCGCGTATATTTCTATAGACATAGGGAAAAACATTCAACAACCGGAATTTTATTGCATATTCAAGTGGCCCATATTCAAATACACATACTAGAGCCTTTTTTTGGATTCGTTATTGCGCGAAGAAAAATTCGGCGCCTACGATTTCGGCCGATTTTGCCGCCAAGTGCCTAGAAAGCGCGTGAATCCCTATAGGCATAGGGATAAGCATTCAACAACCTGAATTTTATTGCATATTCGAGCAGCTCATGTTCAAATACACATACTAGAGCCTTTTTGGCTTGGTTATTCCGCGAAAAAAAGTTCGGCGACTACGACTTCGGCCGCCAAGTGCCTAGAAAGCGCGTAAATCTCTATAGGCATAGGGAAAAGCATTCAATAACCTGAATTTTATTGCATATTCAAGTGGCCCATGTTGAAACACACATATTAGAGCCTTTTTGTCTTGGTTCTTGCGCGAAGAAAAGTTCGGTGCCTACAATTTCGGCCGTTTTTGCCGCCAAGTGCCTAGAATGCGAGTCAATCCCTATAGGCGTAGGGAAAAGCATTCAACAACCTTAATTTTATTGCATATTCGAGTGGGTCATGTTCAAATATACATACTAGAGCCTTTTCGGCTTGGTTATTGCGCGAAGAAAAGTTCGGCGCCTACGATTTTGGCCGTTTTTTCCGTCAAGTGCCTAGAAAGCACGTGGATCCCTAAAGGCGTAGGGAAAAACTTTCAACAACCTGAATTTTAATGCATATTCGAGTGGCCCATGTTCAAATACACATACTAGAGCCTTTTCGGCTTGGTTATTGCGCGAAGAAAAGTTCGGCGCCTACGATTTTGGCCGTTTTTGCCGCCAAGTGCCTAGAAAGCGCGTGAATCCCTATAGGCGTAG